GAGGACGCATTAAAAAGAGCGGTCAACGACGCGCTCCAGGCACCATGGCTAAACCTATCACTACCTTCATGACTGGATCTCAGCGAGTTAATGAACACTTAAAAAGCAAAGCGAATACTCCTTAAGCCGGGATCACACTCCTCAAGCACCATACAAAAGACAGCCCACATAAGGATACGAACGCGAGTCACTGCGAGATCCGTGCTTGGAATGCCAAGTGGCAATTGGCACGCCAAATGGCAAAACTTGGCACGCGGCATTCGAATCACGGATATTGTGATGACTCGTGTTTGCAGACTGTCGTTTGTAGGGTGTATGAGAAGTGTAACCCCGGCTTTAAGGTCAAGAATGCATAAGCAAAAATCAAGACTAATTAGCAAAAATATTGTAGCTCGTTTTGATGTTTCTCCACGCTGCAGGCACATCAAGAACATCATTGTGATCTCCAAGACCGTTTATGAAGATCTTCCGACACTCAGCCAGCGCCTACAATGCTCCCTAATGTTGGACAGACTCTATTCGCTAGTCACGAAAACTAAGTAATTACTTCTTATACATTTATTATTTCAAGAGCATCTTACGGTAACAGCTGATATTGGCGAGGTTTTGCAGCGGATCCAGTGTGTGCTTCCTGTACGTACACGTCGCGGCCTGCTAAAGTCAGAGGAGAACCAGAGTGTCATGACATTGTGACGCCACAGTGTCGCGTGACGTCATGTCACATGAGTTCACAACGTTCCCGCTATATTTTGTGGGAAGAAGGATGATCACTAAACTTACCAAAAAATGTGTGCAGTAGATTTAGCAGTAATGTTTTGTCCCGTGACGTCATGATATCACGTGATGACACAGTGCCACGTCATGTTATGGCGTCCCGTAATCTAATGGTTCAACGTTAAGTTACAGTGTCACGTGATCTTATGGCGTCATGAAGCGTCACCGTGCCACATGAACGCCGTTCACTAAATGTAGCGCGACGTAAGTTCGTTAAATTTAGAAACAGCAGGATGGAGGCTGAACCGCATGTAAGCGATTTGGGCAGCGACGAAACAAGCGACGGCAATATGCGACGAGAGTGAGCGCCGAAAGACGGAGATTTTTCATAGTCGCTCGTTGCTTCGCTTGGTTCTCGAAGTTCTAGAAAACGTCGCTCATCGGCTTTGTCGTTTCTCCCGTCGCGTTCATGCGGTTTTCCTTGTCGCGCGACTGACCGAGCGACAGCGGGTAGTCGTTGCCGACGACTGTCTCTTCGCTCGCCAAATCGCTTACCTGTGAATTATACTTAAGTGTCTACGGAAGTATGCACCGTCGCGGCTCTCGCCGCAGATCCCTAGTAGGACGCGGAAAAGAACGTGGACATATTTTTGTTTGTTTTTTACTACACAAGGTTATTCAAGATTGCTAACAATCAGATTGAGTTCGATCATCAAGTAACAGTAACGATTTCTTACATAATTCAGTAGGGCACATTGCACAGATCTCACTGGAGCGACAGACAACAGACCCTATTCGCAAACAGGAGTAATGCAGAATTAACTAACGTTTATTACACTCACACGTCACCAACTAAGCACAAAAACATGTTGGGCAACAAGCCGTACATCCAAATGTAGCCCCGATCAAAAAAAAAAAAAAAGAGAAGAAACTGAATGTGTTGTCGGCAGTCAATGCTTGGCGGCAGTTTCTCCTAAATGGTGAGGTGCAGAAGCATATTGTCCGAAGTGAAAAAAAAAAAAAAATTTTATTATTATTTAGACATACTTCAGGCCTTGAACAGGCCCCTGCAGGTGTGGGGTGCATACAAACAACAAAACTATACATATGAGAAACAAGGAACACATGGCAACCACACATATTGCTTATACAACGACATATACACATATGAACGCCATCAGCATAATAAACATTCCATAATCAACGCCTAATATACAATAAAAAAATGCATGTACAAACACCAGGAAAGGAGAACAATCTAAAGTTGTGACTCTCAAGAGCACCATTGAAGTCGGGGGCAACAAAAATCCACAAACAAAGTAAAGTTCTACTGGCGCGCCAGAGTAGCCTCAGCCCAAGCCGACAGCGTCTCCACCGTCTAGACAAACAACAGTGCTATAAAAAACAAATGAAACACATGATGCCAAAACAGCTACTCTCTCTACTTTGAATCTCGCCGAAATGCGTTAGAATTCAGACGAGGGGCTCCAACTAAGCGAAAACTAGAAAGACAAACCCCGAAGCGGTTTCTTTTTTCTTTCTTTTTGGACGTGCAGTGTTGAAAGCCCTCTTCTGTGAAGTCATTGGATACTTAGAAATTAGCGCAATTGCCTTCCCTGACTGCTCACCTGTCACAAGCGATACCAATATACAGAAAAATAAACACTGGTCTCAGTTTCCATGACAATCGCCATTTCGACCCATTCAAATCTTCGAAGCGAGGAAAGGATCGTTCTGAACCAATCACGCCAATATCGCCAAATGGCATCATCGCACTATCAGCGTTCCGTGCTAATATAAACGTCTTTGGCACTGTACATGTAGTCCACTTAGAAATAATACTTATCTCCACAGATATATTGTAATGGTATTGCTATTACGTGCTTCAACACCAGCAAATTATTTCTCAATGCCTTCAGGCATTTACACGCCATGAGGTGATGGTGCGAAGGTGTAAGCTTGCTTCGTCGGTGTGCGGATAACAAAATTTCGGTATTCAAGAAGTGTCCTCATAAAGTAACCTGTCATCTTGAATTTGAATTGGCTAACCGAGAAGGGAGAGATCAACGAGAGATTGCTCATTCTATGAAACAAAATGGAAATCATAGTTCGTGCCAAGCTTAGAGCTTGACGCTACTTTCTGAAGATCTAGAGATTTTACTCTTTTCTCTATCAAATCAAATCAAACCTTTATTTTCCAGAAAACTGGAAGAATCGCCAGACAAAAGTTTGTTAAAAAAACAGTTCGACAGGGTCTTGGATTCCTTTTCATTAGCAGCAGCTTTGACATTGAAAAACACATAATACGTAAAAATAAAACAATTAAAAAAGATCACAACATAAGCATATAATTCAAAATCCCACTACGCGAAGCTACACACACTACAAATGGAGGTCTTTTTTATTTAACGGGCTTATGTTAATGTTGTTTGTAACACACTTGTTTAATAAGCATGGTACATTATAATTTATAGTGACTGAAAGTTATAGTTTCTGCGAGATTGAGGAAGCACTATCTCTGTACGGCGTGTGTTAACATGACTGGTTCATTATGAGCCCTGAAATAATGCACAAAATGTGCAAATGCCTCAGATGAAAAACAAATCGCACAAAGTCAACGGTATCCGCACATGTTCCCGACAGCAAGTATTCCGAACTTTGCGAAAAAAGGTTCTGTCTGGTCCGTATACGAAACAGCCGCAAGATAGCTGAATAACGTGCAAGCACATCAAATCAGAGAGCATATCTCTCATCCCTAATGGCGGGCCGTTTCGCGCAAACGGCGTCGCCGCTGCGCCTCGGTGTTTACGAGGTCACCTACGTTGCGCATAGGGGAAAAAGAAAACTACGTGCCCACGTCTGGTGCCATCCAATGACACGTCAAGGGTGGCGCGTCATTGGAAGGGCGCGAAAAGACACTTGCGCTTTAACCTATGAGGGAAAAAGGACGTAACGAGCACACGAATGGAGCGAAAGAGCAGGGCTGGAACCGCACCGCGGTCTCATGAAACCAGTCCAGTCCAGTTCAGTTCAGTTCAGTCCAGTCCAGTCCAGTCCAGTCCAGTCCAGTCCAGTCCAGTCCAGTCCAGTCCAAACCACAACCGCTTCAAACTAAAGACGGCTGCATGCACCGAGGCAATAAATCTGAACTGATATAAAAACAAACTAAACGATCACCCCCACGTCTGCCTCGAGCCACCTTTATATTTTTTGTTGGTCTCTTGCACTTCAGTGATCATCTCGTCGTTGTAGAAGCTACTTTCGTTGTCGTAGTTTGTTGTTCGACCGTGTCAGTAAGACATATGATCGAGAAATACCAGAAACGCTATGGTTACTGACAGGTTGAGAACTTCCGGGAAGAACTCCAGTTGTGTCCAACCTCAGGCGTGATCTTCGTAACCTCCTACCTTAGACAACTCTTCAGCGTCTCGAGCACCTCGAGCGCGTGCGAGAAGCAAAAGCACGGCGGAAGGCATGGAACGCATGCTGGAGTTTTGGCGTTCGAAAGACTCTCTCTGCCGTTCTCGCTCTTTGAGTCCTTTTTTTTTTTTTAGAATTGCGTGAAGGTTTAAGAGTTAGCGTGCTGCAATAGCACCAAAATTCCATTACTGGGACTCTTCGTCGCCCTGTGTCACTGGAATCTTTCGAGTACCAGCAAGAATTACGTGCATAAAGCGCCTTCGGCTTTGTTTTTCTTTAGTGCCAGCAAATACTAACAGGGCATTTTTCCTAAAGCTGATACCTGAAGTATACTTTGCGTAGCGTCAGTATGCACTCGTACCAAAAAATAGCAGCACTTTCGTGGAACACGGTCGACATAGTTTTTTTGTTTGTTTGCAGGCATGCTTAAACGACACCACCTAGAACAGTCAAAACCAGTGCACTAAGACTTTGATGTCATTACAGAGAAATTCAGCTGAAGCGCAGATTGGAGAAGTGTGCACCGGCAGCGTGCGGAATGGTCTCGTATCGTCTCAGCGCGTACTTGGTTTAAGGCTCGGGTCTAATTGCTTCGCTGGCGCCGTACGACGGTGTCGACGTACCATGGAAGAAGAGGAGGATGTTCAAAGGAATTTATTATTCTAGGGCGGTGTTGGCTTAACTCAACTTTTATGATCTCATATATTGAAACTTAATATACTATTCCTAGAGTGCGCATTGAGTCCATGCTCAGTCTACTTTTTTGCCCGGGCTGTCGGAACGATGTTTTGATCTCTCCGAATGTATGTTTCAGATCGTGCGACAAGTATTCCAGGAAACGAACTCAGCTTCTCAGAGCCATTTACGACATCATATGGCTCGACACATTTTGGGTGATCATAGTTCAATACGCCTATTGCGGGTGTCTCATAGCGAGGGTCCCCGTTCTTGAGTGAGTACACCATGGCGGTTTTATTGTTTCATTGTATTTGTCCTGTGGCCAGGCCATGTTCTACGGTTTTGTTTAAACTCATAAAGAGCTTACAAAGCGATAGGCTTATTGCGCCGTATTTACTCATTTTCACTTAAGGGGCAGGCCGCGCAACCAGAATTCAAGCAATATTTAAAAAAAATTCAATTGCGATTTTAGTTATGATTGATATCCTGCTTTAGTTCACAGCTGTTTGGCTATGATTACTTAAATCAGACACTTCACGCGAAACATAATATTAAAAAATAGTATTTTTATTTACGTATATGATTATTTCTATATGCGCTTGTTTTTTTATTTGAATAAAAAAAAATCAAGCATGAAAGTTATATCAATCTGAACAGAAGCAAGAAGCGGTGCGTTTCTGAGCAAATCATAGCGCTGACATTTACTTCAACCATCAACTTTTACCTTCCAATGAAAACAGAAAAAGTCATTCCATATTCTACGCAAATTAAAACGCGAAACAAAAACAGCGAGTAAAGCTTTTTATTTTACTAATATTTGATGGGAAATAAGCTACCTTTGTTCTACTATGGCGGGGTGGATCACTAAGCTGTTCATACAAGCGCTATAGATCGAAAGTCATTCTTCCGCGTTATTTCCAGCGATTGAAAAAATTACTGTCAGTCCGCAATGTTTGAAGTTAATTTACTGGTGAAGAATCAATACTTTTTGCTACAGTTTTCTAAATCAAATTAATCTGATTGAAATCAAATAGTCTAATTTACAACAAAAAAGGCTAGGCGGCGCAAGTTAGCCGCCGTTATAAAGTGTACAGCTTGTAGCACCTATCCAGCACGTGGGCTGTTCGTCCATTGGGCGCGATGAGCTTGATTTGATTTCAGCCACCGCCGAACGCTTACGCAGCACTCGTTTTTAATATGAACTAAGTCGAGTTTACGCTGAGGGCTAAATGTTTAAGCTTAAGTTTCTAATACATACTCTAATTGCGGACTCGAAAAATCGGCGCACCACCTATTAAATGGCACGATCTTTTGAAAGGATCCTATTGACGAGTTAAAGTTTCGATATATTTTTACAATTATAAATTGCTTCTGATTCCTTTTATTTTCAATATTACCTTAAGACCATTGCATTTAGTCTCGATATAATCGCAACATGAAGTTCATAGCAATGTTGGCAGAGGGACAGGTGGGAATTTATTTATGTATTTTTTTTTTATCAACAAAAGGCTTCTTCAAAATAAGGTTTTTTACATCGTGCCGCCCCTACAGGAACCTTATTTCCTCCAACAACCAATCTGAGCAGAGCTCGCTGATTCTTCTCTTCGTTGCCACCATCACCGCCGAATCGCTGATCTCGTGCTATTCTGTGTATCTCACGATGCGGCTGGCAATTCGAATTCGCAGCATGCTACAGGCAGCAATATTCAGAAAAGTAAGTCATATTTGCCCACCTGACGATATGCACCCTAAAAATGCGAACGACCTCACAAAGCGTGCTGCAACTGACAGCGGCGCCAGTTGCGACGTTGAAAGGTGTACTTTAAGATATTAGCATTTAGTCGTTGTGATTTGGGATACTTAATTGCTTTAGAAGCTTTGTAAACTAGTCGTAGAAGACGCGCCGCAAGAGTCGTGCTGCTTGGATTAAATGCTCTTTTAGAACGTTCGATTCACGCGTCGAAGAAGCTTCCAGAACTCCGAGGCGGAGCCGGCGTTTCCGGTTTAGGTGCTTCAAGTTTAGGTGCTACGATGTTTTGCCGCATACCAAAAGGAACGACATCCAAGATGGCTGCGCCCTTGTGGATAAGATGTATAAAAGAAATTAGCAGTCCTATTCCCGGGACGCCATATTGTTGGCTAGAGGGCGCAGGGCTTGTTCAGAACTCTATTCCGTTTCAGTAGACCTTTCGCTAAATTACCCAAGCACCAAAGCGAATGTTGGGAACGTAGGTACACGCGCTGCGCGTGCTCGCTTTCCTTAAAAAAGAGTCGAAGTAAATAAACAAAATAAGGCATTTGTAGAACGCACGTGCGAAGTGCAATTTGTTATAGATTTTTGTTCCCGAATAGGTACTGCTGCAGGCGCCAGCACGTGCTGCGCATGTACCTAGGTTTCCTGCATTCTTTTCGATGCTTGGGTGATTCGGCAAAAGGTATATTTAAAGCCGGCGCCACAATGCTTATAGTTCCTTTATATGGGCACGACACCAGACGGTGCTCCAGTCTTTGACGTCCCAGAGCCGTGTATTGGCAGAGTTTGGCCATCCAGTGGATTAAATATGCCAGCATCTCGGGGCCAACCACAAGCCGCGAAACAGCGCCTAGCGGTGATCGCGTGCTTTAAAAACGCGACTCGACTAATTTAAGCCGTTTTAGCGTAGCTCGAGTAATAAGGTATACCTCTTGGGTGACTGAAAACTTAGCTTATGTGAGGTTTTCGTCACGCCCATATTCAAGGGTAGAATAAACAAGCGTGCGCTCCGAATGACTCGCTAGAGACAGCGTCTCAGCTGAGACGGGGAAAGAACGCTATGCCTACGCTAGCGCACGAGCTGAGCGGGATTCCGCGTCTCAAGACGCTCGCGCGCCCCACCCTTTGCACTGTTTTCTTTCAGCCAGTCTCAGCTGAGACGCTGTTCTAGCAAGCCGACTCAGAGCAAACTGTCACCAAGAGGCCAAGATTGAACGATTCTATTTCACGCTTTAAATGTCGTTTCTAATATTGTGACGTCATGGTCTGCTGATATGTCGCCGCTGTGTCGCACCTTTAGTTTTTGCTTTAACCGCGGGAGGAGTATTCGGCGCTGGCAGCGGCCTGTGCTCCAGCCATTTGCAAAACTCTTCTAATATACGGCTCTGTGACGTCCCAGAAAACGTTTGGTTCATAAAAAGATTGAACATAGCGCATTTAATACCGCTGTCTGAAACGTCGGTGAAACGTTTAACCACCAATTCTCCAGTTGAACGCCAAAAGAACGAAAAAGCTCGAGACGTGTTAAAATGTTTAGAATATTCTTGTCCACCAACTTGCCTCCTCCAAGACGTTTAATTGTGCTGACGATGGGCCTTGTTAAGCCTCCAACTTTGTTGTCCGTGTAGCATTTATGCTCTCCAGCACCGGTGACATAAGCAAGCTCGACAGGCTTGCAAGGCGGAAAGACCGTAAGTCGCTTGAGACTCAAGCGGCAATTTCTTTGTTTTCTAAAAAGCAAAAGAGTAACGCGAGCCACCGCGAAATGTGTGCATCGAATGCCGCATGGCAACGAGTTCGAAGAGAAAGTGCTTGGGACGCGGCATTCGAACCGCGGATATAGCGGTGACACTCGTGTTTGTGGACAGTCTTTTGCACGATCTATGAGCAGTGCGACCCCGGCTTAAATCCGACTGCAGCCAACACTGCTGTCTGACGGAGCCAATCACAAACCGCAAGAAGTGCATCGTCACGTTTGCTCGTTATCTTTGTGAGTTTGCTATACGGGGAGCAAGTCGTCTGCTTCTTGCGCAGGAGTTGTGATGACGTCAGAACGTCGAACTCTGGTTGGCTCTGCTTGAAGGAGAGCAGGTCGGCCTCAATGCAGCTTGATTTGAGGTCTACCCACTATCCTTCAGTCAGAGCCAATCACAGCTCGGCGTCCTTCTGACGTCACCTAAGCCCCAGCCTAAGCCCCAGCAAGAGAAGCAGACGAACTTGCGCTCCGTATAACCGGCTACACCAATCAAGCACAAAAATAAAAGCTCAGGATTCCGGCGCATTCGCTGTGCCTTATTAATTCGGTCGGTGATAGCAAAGAAACAAAGGCGACGAATGCCGTGACGATGCACTTTTGGCGCTGCCTGACTGGCTACAACAGATCGTCGGTGTCGGTTGCGGTCAGGCTTAATGTCGTGCCCCCAGATAAGCAGCTCTTCCCCCCTTCCGCTCCTGGGGCCCTAACCTCGTCAAACATAAAGCTGGAGCCGTACATTACATTCGCAGAGCAAGCTGATTGGACGTTGGTGGCAAAAACGCGAAGTCATCGTTGCGGCCATCCAATCGGTGCGCTCCGTCAACTTAGGCCCCAACTTTTTGTTGGACGAGTTTAGGGCCCCTGCTCTGAAGTCGATGTCCCTAGGGAGACGAAGCCCTATTTTTAAGCCGAAAGCCTTACCTGTCCCATTACGAGAAAAGGCGGCGGCGTTGTTTCCGAAAGATGGTCATTCAAATCCTTTCAGTGCTGAGCGTCTTGAAATGGTCGCATAACGCTTGTACGCGGAGCATTCCCTGATGCTTGCCTTGTCGTTCATTATAGTCCTACCAAATAAACAGATACGTTACCTCTTCAATCGATGCTGTCGAACGTTTCATCGCGTCTAGTGGTTAAACCGTCTTTCGCCACTTTTATTATATAATGCAGAAGGATTTAAGTGAGCAGTTTAGGTAACCACCTTCTGATAAAACACGAATATAGTGGAAGCTCGCTTAAATAACTTTAAAAATAATCTAATCAAAAGCTTATTTATAGTTTTGTTTAACCCGAGACTGGGGTATTTCGGAAAATACCCCAGTCTCGGGTTAAACAAAACTAGGGTTAATTTCCACCAGCTCGCCTGCACCCTTACAATTTTTTCATTATTTATAGTGCCGGCCGTCGTATCGCTAAGAGGTTGTTTTAAGATGACTTAGCGAAACGTCGGTTGACAGTCAAAACCTTCCAAGCGTTTTGTTTGCATGTTCCACTGCAGACGGCAATCGCAATTGGGAATACTTCAGAGATGTTGTGGGGAACAATTGACGAAAAAACGTTTCACAACAAAGATCTAGAGAATGAAGATGCAAAACCACACTTGTATTATTTGAAGACAAACATAACAAACCCTCGATATGCTTTATGTCGAGCATAATTTAAAACGGAGATGACGGATGGCAAGAAAGATACATACAGAACACGTCTCAAATGCATCTGGCTACATCTAATGAGCACATCATGTTATGTACGTCACTCTCTCCTCGAACATTAATCTATAGTGCTCACTTTCTTGCGGCTACCCTCAACGACGTTTCATCCCCACGTCCTCAACAATATCTGCATAAATTAAAAGTTACTTCAGCAAGTGCGGGCTGTTAGGAATAAGGGGTCGAAATGCCAACTTACAGAACACAAGAAAAAGCTTAAGAGTTGTTTGCCTGCGTTTGTGTGTGTGTGGGGGGGGGGGGGGGGGTGCACTACGGTGTTAAGAGGGTAACTGTGCTAAGAGGTTCTTCAAGTGGATAATCAGGACTGCGTCTGTAAGCAACTGCATCAGCCCACCTTCAATCCTATTAGATGCGGCAACTCGGGAGTTTATGATTTTTTAGTGGAAGGAGGGGAAAAAAAGTAAACATTGTATAACGTTGTAAGTTCTGCACTTTTCTTCAACCAAGCTACTTCAACCAACGATAGTGATGGTTCTACGCAATGATTCTCATCGTTTACACGGTTGAGGCAGTTTTAAGTTTTGCTAGTCCTCGACACTGAAGCTTTTGGAGAGGTCTGTATTTTGTATAGGTGGTTTGTGATGAGGAGGGCGGGGGCGTCGGAATGGGGGGCGGCTCTGGGAGCCGATCGCGGGTGATGTGCAATATGGGTAAATTTTGAATGGGAATGTGGAGTATATCAGGTGCGTCAATACAATTTGGTCATTTGCATCTAACACGTGCTGTGTGGTGCGTCCACTTTTTGTAGGCTGCCGTACCCATTGTAAATTATATGTGACTTTGATTACCTGCTTTTTTGAAGTAAAGACTAGAATAAGGAAGGACATACATTTTAAAACAAATTTCTCCGCGTTGTGCTTGCATCTTGGTATACATGGGTTGCACGTGACGTCATTCACAAAGCGCTCCGATGACCACTAGAGACGAGGGCAAGAAGGAGCTCCCCTCTTATCAGGACCCTCCTTTGTGCCTCCGGAATTTGCACAGGCGTCGCTATTCCCCTGCCAGAAGATTAGAGAAGATTAACCCGTGACTCGAAATTCTTACAAAACGAGCTTCCCTCTCCGCCTCTTACATGGTGGTCAAAAGTATGTGATGTGACGTCAATGCAACCCATGTATGGCAATCTCCGCCAAGTCACCTGCATGCCTATCCCCCTTTGTTTGTTCTAGGTTTGTACTTGCTCGGTTTTGAAGAGATAAAGACATTTGTGACGTGGCTATGTTCGATGTCCTCGTCATTTCTCTTTTTTTCTGGTTACGCCTGTCACTGTCGTTGCTGTTATTAACGCCGCTCCCAGAACGTCCGTTACTTTCCCTTTCCCCAGCTTTATATCTCGCCCATTCTACTTATCCCAGTCGGCGTGACCACGCCATTCAGGAGAATATATCCCCAACGCTTGTATGATTTTGCTTTCGCAGATCACTCGCCTCTCCCCGACCAGCAGGAGCGACAACCCTCCTGGATATGTGGTTACGGTGATGGGCATTGACTGCATGCAGCTCTCCATGTCCCTGCAACAGTTCCCTCCACCGCTCGTCGGTCTGACGTGCATGCCGGTTGTCTTCTACCTCCTGGCGGCTCGGGTGGGGACAGGACCTGCGCTCTGCTGCGCGGCGTGGCTGCTGGTCACCCTCACCTTGCCTTTTCCGACGTCCAGACTGCAAAATGCCATCTGGGTACGTACATGCAGTTCCGCTCATTTTGAAATCTGGATATCAATTATACATTATTTTATGTTAAGTTGGACCATGCACATCGAGTATCTGCGGTCATGGGTAAAGGAAAGCGGTGTATAATATGATTGGTCAAAAAGATGCATCGAAGCTAGGTTGGCCCTAAGCCGATTGGTTGTATTCCCAAGCACATTCTTTGACCAATCATAAGCCGCCAGCATACCAGTTGCCGTGGGAGTGAGTCAAAACCTTGAGATCCCGGTCGGTTACACTAGTGTAACGCCTCTGGAGTCGAAGGTTATCAGCCTCGGTGGCTAAAAACAAGTCGCGCACGGGGGACAGGACACGCCAGTATACTCATTGCTGGCGAACACATGTGCAGCCTGCGCCTTCCGGTCGGCTTGCCGATCGCAAGGTGAGAGCCTTACCGCATTCGGGTATTTCATAGTCTTTTGACGCCGCACTGTTTGTTTATGGTCGCAGATGAAAAATATTCAATGTATGCACTTTAACCGCGGAAGAAATATACGGGTTGCTTGTGTCTGCGCTGCGGCTGCCCCTGTCGAGATTCCCTCGCTGCTACTATTCAGCGAAATGTTTCAACATATGGATTTGGTCGCAGAAACCTAAATGAATGCTTTCCAAACCTTGCGTCATTTCGCTAGCATGCTATCAATTACTTACGGCTGTCAGCCTCTATTACCGACGCTTTAAGAAACGGAAGTTCTTGCTTTTTAAGTCCACGATTGTTGCTTCGCGATTTGTACTTCGACGTTCCTCTTGGCAAGTTCCACAATCCGATTGGTTGAGGAACGATAACAAGATATTTGAAAATCGACACGACATCATTTTTTGTAAGCTGTAAGTCACTTTAGAGTAGCGATGGAAAGCTATCGAGAAATTGTCTTTGGATACAATCTATAGATTTGAAAGTGTGGAAAAATATTGATAGGGGACTATCTATAGTACTATGAATTGTTTTTGTTTTTTGCCTATCGATAGTTGATTTGGCTTCTGTCATCGGTAGTATCAATAGTGTTATAGAGAGCTATGCACTACTACTATAGAGGCACGAATGCAGGCTGTTCAAGCGAAGGCTTCCCAAAATCCCTAAAAACAGGGCGCTTAATATGGCACTGACACGCCAAAGGTCGTATTGTATTTTTCCCTAAAACGATGCAAGTTGTAGTTATAGACACCCCAAAATATACCACAACGAAAAAAAAAATCTTTTGCACGCGCGCGTGCGCTTTTCTTATTTTTTGTGTTTTTCTCTCCCTCCTCTCACGTCTTGGGTTTTTTTTTTTTTTTTTATTTGTAACGTAATCGATTATGATATTTGGAGGCGTTGTAAGCGAAATTTCTGGTATATTTCATACAGGTATCCGTAAAACATTTTTTTACGCAGTTGCGAATGTACTACGCCTACTCTTTTGAAATATCGAAAATCCGAGTCCCGAAGTAATGCGCTTCCCGGGTTTTTACCCTTCCTCGGAAAACATCGCGACGCTCGGCACCCGCACCCGTAGCCGTGAGGATGATTGGGGAGTCGGGGCAGCGGACGAAGTTCTCTATGTTTGGTAGAGTTTCCTCTGGCCTTGGACGTTTCGATTGGTGTGATGTGACCTTCTGCTCCATGTTAATCGGGACGACACCACCGGCACTTTCCGTCGGCCCTTTTACTTCCAAACATTTTTGACCACCTTGCTCCTGGCATTTTAAGGCTAAAACGCTTGTAGCTGAGTCAACTTGAAGAACTACCCTTTTGACAATTTCCGCCCATGTACACGTATATAAGCGTTTCTGCAAAAATACAGTAGAAAGGGGGAAAACCATTATGCGAACAGAACTTTAAGATCATTGAGAAAAATGTAGAGTGAAAAACAACGAGAAGAGAAAAAGATTGACTTTTTTAATAACTCGGGCTTATATGATGGCTAGACTGACTTTATGATGGTATTTAAACAATTACACGTAATATTTTGTGAGAGTGAATTAACCTAACGTGGTACCAGTTGAGTGCACATGTATAGGTCTACAGGAATGCAGTATTAAATAAGCAAAATGTCTAATAAATCCTAAGATATAGTGCTCCAAGTATTTTGTTAAAACAACAAAGATGCGATGTTTGGAATTTTGTAGTTTTGGTAGGAAATATGTGAAAGCGGTTTAGTTTAAGGGGAAAAAACGTAATGCGCAAATACATTTGCAGTAAAAATTACTGTGAGTGTCTCCCTTTTTACCTATTTATCAGAACAAACAGCTGGGTATAAAAATCAAGCTGCCTAAACGTAGCACTTCAACGTGCTCCCTTTCAGAAGTTTACTCGAATAAATAATTAAAAAAGTATATAAGAAGTTTTCGGTCATTTCAGAAATGAGGCTATAATAAATAATTTTTTAAGCAAATAAACATATAGTCCCCGACACGAGTATTCGGTTTAAAATAAATTCACCCTTTTAGATAAATTGCGCGCTTGCATTTAATTTAAAAAAAAACATGGGGCTTTTCAGAAAGTTGATTTTAGGCTTGTACCATGACATAAATCATGCATTTAAATATCTGAATTTCTGTAAATATATAACGCAGAAAACTATGCTAACAACATATAAAATTTTTATATCAATTATATATTAAAACTTTTTTTTTCAGGTATAGAAAGATATTTAAACAAGCTTTAATAGATCAGGCCTAAGCCCCTCGGGAACTTAGACAAGTGTCAATAAAGAACATTGTCACGTTTTAATTGGAACGTTAAAGAGTCCATAAATGATAATGCCTTCAGCGCAATAAAACGCACTTAGAAAGAGTTGCGAAAAGGAAACAATTCATGTCACATTTAAACAATCTATCTTCTATTCTCGGACGGACCGAAGAAACAGCGGCTCACGTTCAGTCACTAATAGCTTAAAGTGATATTTAGGGGCACTTCCTAAGGTCCAGAAGACATAACATGTGTAAGAATAAATGGACTTCCACTTGAGATGACACGCAATTAGCACCCTCTGGCCGATATGTGGCCTCAAATAAAATCCGCCGGGTAGGCGATCGAATCCTGTACCAGGTGAATTCTTTTATCAAAGGTTTAAGGCGTATGTCACGCATGAGACTGCTTCTGATACCAAAACTTGGCTGCGAACGTAAAAAAAAAAAAAAGCTTGTCCCTGTTAATCATGTTGCTCAGTAAGAATCTACGCGTGAGTAAAAATAACCCTAACCTGATTTTGAGTTCTGCTTCCGCGAAATCTGGTTTCTAAAACAAGAAATAGTAACTACGTCTTTTCTTTTGTCCAGAACATGTGGTGCAGCACTGCCTGCAATCAAGGAGCGTCTATTCAACGAACGATGAGGCCTAATAAGGGCGTACAAAACTTGCGCAGGGGTAGAGGGTGCGTTTTTTCTTTTACGAAACAACGTTGGGCGCGTTCAATTGCACTTATACACTAAGGGCGTATCACCAGCCCAATATGCATGAAGGTACTACAAGCTTATTAAAAGAAATATTTAAGGATTAAAGTTACATGCAGGTCGAAATGCCTGAGAGGGATGTACACAAATATTTGATGCTATTATTAGACTGATTTCAATCCGTCTTATTTGAGAATATTCCGATGGTCTCTTCGTTTTGCTCTTCAGAGGCGCATTATGAAGTGCCGTGACGACCGCCTCAAGCGTTTCACGGACCTCCTGTCTTCGGTGCGGCTGGTCAAGATGTACGCCTGGGAAGACGCGTACATGAAAGCCGTCAACGAGCTCAGAGACAAAGAGATGGTTCCCGTGTTTCTGGTGAACCTCGTCGACGGTCTCATCGATTCTCTCTACAGCGCCTCGAGTTCGGTGGTAGGAATATTCTATCTTATATTTTACATCATTTTGTTTTCCAACACAATACGAGGTGAGGTGTAAAAAATTCTGGAGCAGGTTGTATCATAAAAAAAAAGATGGAAGCACGGTGACGCACACGCAGAGGTCTGCTGAAGGCATCAACCTCCATGAGTCACTAAGCCAAAAACTCGTGTAGCTCTGCTACACGAGCTTTTCGAACTGTTTGCACGAACACCCACGATTCCCGCATGAACTGAGAAACATAGCGAACAATTCAAAGTCGAAAGTCAAAAAATCTAAAATAGAAATATTTGAAATGAATCGGCAGGCTTGTGGCAATAACTCTTTGAGTCCTGCCAGGTGTTTGAGGTAGCACTTGTGCTTCAAGATTGACGGAACAAAACTAGACCAGGAACTTTTAGATCACCCCTCGTAGGTCATGAAGACATTATGACCATGTATTTGTTCGTGTATTATCTGCATTTCACATACGTCGGAATGTAAAATTGCCACTGTGAATATGTCTACATCCTGTATTATCTGTTGTAACTTAATGTTTGAATATTTCTACCAGAACTTCAGTTTTTTCGTTAAAATGGTAGGTGTAGTCTATAAAGTTCTATTGTAACCGCTCGTGTTAGCCAAGAACCATTTCGCTTATGCGAAATCGTTCTAGGCTCTTTTTAAAAGAAATGACCTGACTCGCCGAATTTGCGAAACAATCTGCAAGCTTGGAGAAACGGTACAATGCGTATGCAATAAGACCGACAGCCATTTTTTTTTTCTTTTTTTGCGTGAAACTATTTTTAAGGTCACCCGAGTGAGAAATTCTGAAGAATTTCTTTGACTGCAACAACTTTTTTGGCTGAACTTCGATAATCAATATGTAAGCAGCGATCATATCTTCGGGGTCATTCCGTCAACAAAATGGTCTGAATGTGGCCAAAACGAAGAGGAGGCATGTATCTACAAGTATGCTCGCTCAAAGACGTACTTCAACGAAATTGTAAATAATCTCGTGCTGTTCAGAAATAGGCTGAATATGATGCACAATATCCGTGAGTGACAATCGCACGTTTTCATTTTGAGCCTGATGGCTGTATTTTTCGTTATGAACGGCCCACTGTGGGAAGCGTTCGGAGGGCAGCCAGTGGAGATCACGTGACATCCAGCACGATCGCGACGTAGATTGTCACGATTGCGTGAAATTTTGTTGAAATTTCGCGTGATCGTGTCAGCAAAATTTGGGGGCTTATTTCTTGGTCTATACTTGTTCGAGTGAGCAGTATGACATCGGACACGCCAGTCTTTTTTTGAAAAGGACAGGAAAAGGAATTTTAAAACTGATTAAAAGATTAGCAAAAAGCACTTGGTGTATCTCGCAAAAGCCTCGTTTGTAATGCCCGTTTAGGAACTTTGACAAATACTGACAATGCCTGTCTCACCCAGAACTAAACATGCTTTAAACCTGACGTCATCCCGCCAGCTCTCCGGCCACCACGAGAGAAGAGGGGAAGGAGGAACTCCCCTTTTACCGGGACTTTCTATTGTGTGACCGAGAAGTCGCGATAGTCCCTCTACAAGATTATAGAAGATTAACCCGTCACTCAATATTCTCACGTAAGCAGCTTTGGAGTTGGTTGCTGTGGTCCGATCGCTGGCGTGCTGCGGCCGCTTCGGTGACTGAAACGGCTAGGACATCTTCTCCACGTCAGCTTCGGCGCAGCTTTCCTCGTCCCGAGACAATCTACGTCACAATCGCGCCGATTATCATGTGCTCTCCGCTGGCTGATTCCGAGCGCTTGCCAGAGTAGGCCGTTTATTGGCGGCGTGTGCGAATTGCAAGGAGCGCTTCTCTAGCTATTATCTTTATCGTTTGTGACGCCACAAATAGGACAGGCTGGAACAGATCGCGCAGATATTGGATTCCTCTGCTCGCCAGTTCGCTTCATGCGCTGTTTGGGTAACGTGCGGCAAAGCCTGTTTCACGCGTTTTGTTAATTTGGTGAAGTGATATTGTAGTAGAACATTTTACCAAGGCTTGAAACCGTAGCACGCGTAGTCGCGCTAACAACCAGTTTTGGCGTCGAGGCGTCGAAGCGCTGGGATGGTGATGTGCGGTTGTCTACCCCAGTACAAAAAAACGGGATGATGAAAATAGAATGTTCCGCGCCTTACACCATCGAAAGCATACTACGGCGAATGGGGTGTATTTTTAATATGATTAGGACAAAATTAAACAGAGACAGGAATGTCTCATCAATTTCAAAATAGGGAAGCGAAATTCGAATATCTCGTGATTCTAGTAAACATTTCACTGAAGACGACTTTGTGTATCCTGTTGGTTCCAATTTGATCTGTGAGTGCTGGTTCTTATTTGTTCCAAATTTATTCCGCTTTTTTTTTTTTGTAGACCAATAAACAAATTATTAAAAAAAAAACTGGCCGTTAGAAGCGGCAGCTGGCTTCCAGAGTCGTTTCAATTAAATCCCTGCGTATTCACCCGGCCGACACGAAACGTGCAAAAACCCCTCGCAATCGTAGTTTTAAATCTAGTAAGTTGGTGACATTTCAGCGTCCCAAAAAATGAGATATACATCAGCTATGAATTACTACCGCTAGTATGTTTAATCTGAGGATCCAAAAGCGCGTAATGCAAGATGCGCTTCTCAGCGAGCGATTTTAAATCGCTCGCTCAGAAGATAATCAATCGCCTGGACTTGCCGGGCCGATTCCGGTAACGTAAGAATTTATGAAAATGTATGCTTTTCGTTTGAGCAGAACTCGTGTTGTAACAAATTTCTTTGCCACGTATTCGACGAGGAAGGAGCCAAGCGTTTGTAGCTGACGACCATTTCCTCGTCGGCAACTGTCGAGTCACACTTGGATAGAAAACTCGGTATCGGCAAGCTCAATGCAGCTAAAACAAGTGTGCGGTGCTTTGCAACACGACTGTGAGCGCGTACACAGCTGAAAAGAGAGCGCGCCATTTACTCTGGCGAACGCAAAACTTTTTTTTACAGCAGTCTCCACAGATCCAAAAAAAGAATCAGAGAGTCTGTGAATAGCCCTGACACATGCCGCGCATGCTGTACTGTAAAGCTCCCAGTTTTTAAAGAGTTTAAAGGTTATATATATATATATATATATTGGAAAAACCACTCACAAAAATGTCATACACGTTTTGTTTTCTTTTTTTAAATAGATAATTTGTTTTTAATCGTCATACATGCAAACTAGCATAGCCAATTCGTGCTTTGACGTAGCACGTCTGCTCACATCATACTAGCTCCGTCACAGGCGGGCACCCGTGAGGTAAAGCAACCAATACATCTCGTCGCCAATAACAAAAATAGAGCCATCAGGCTCAAAATACAGACCAGCGATTGTCATTCACAGAATATGTGGATCCTATTCAACCTATTTCTGAACACGACGGGAATATTTCAAATTTCGTTAAGGTATTACTTTAAGGCCTTAGACTTTTTTTATATATCAAACAAGTTTAGCTAATTTGTGTGTGTGTGTGTGTGTGTGTTTTTTTAACTTCTACATTCTGTTTTTTCTTTGTTTTCTTCATGATGTAACTCAGAACTTACAATAAAAAATATTAGAGGAGAAATATATACATTTCTTGATACCTTGAAAACTTTGTTCTCTTCAGATGGTCATCATTCTTTTTGGCACACTAGCCGTCCTGGATCCGACTCGTACGCTGAGTGCGTCGCTCGCTTTTTCGTGCGTCTACACTTTGTCCCTGGCCGAAATACCCACAAATGGTATAACTCAACTCCTTAGGATGAGAAGCCTGGTGCGTATTCCTTCCTCAAGTGAAAAAAAGTGATACAGAAATCACGTTCTGTCTGGTATAAATTTCGATGAACACAAACAGATTTTGGTGAACACATTAAAAAATAAACGTTTGTTCTCATCTTTAACAGAAATCACGTTCTGTCTGGTATACATTTCGATGAACACAAACAGACTTCAATGAACACATTCAAAAAGAAACGTTTGTTCTCCGTCTTTAGTTCCATGAACTTGTTAACTCAGTGCTTGGCAAAAAGTCCTTCCCAGGGCGTTGCTTCTACTGCGCGTGGCTACCGCGTCAGGTCGCCAGGTTAACAGGGTACATCATCATCATTGTCACGCATAGTGAGCATTGATTTTACAGTGCTTCCAACAGCTCGATTTGGGCCACATGGAAGGGTTTGCAGATGAGCAGCCAGGAAGATCGATAGCGTCCGTCGTCTGCAAGCGTCTCTACGTTTCCGCCCACTTTCCTTCTTGACACGCAAAAAGTGATTCATGGGCACTTTGCAAACGCTCTCTATGGTTTCAGTTGCTCCATCTCTTAAACCTAATTTCTCTAAATACTAAGTACGCGCTGTGTCTACCTCGTATGCTTAGGCTAGCTCGGTCTGTTCAGCGTTTGGCACTCGGTGTTCGACGTCGCCTGCCTGTGCTTCACCGCACAGATTTGTTAAAAAGGCCGCCTATTGCGAACCACGATACAACTCAGATGTAAAAAATAAGTAGGGTTTTCTCGTCATGAACACCCCGCTGACCTTGATTCGAGAGAAATGCCTCGCTGAAATCCGCTGGAAAAACTGAACACCGAATGCGACGTCGTGCTACGAATATCGTCTTTCATTGGGTCCACGGGTGCGTACTCCGTGCTCACGGGATAGCTTTCGCATCTTCCATTGAGGCAGACGCCACCCAGGCAGCCGCACTGAGCGGCAAATATTCGTGGCTCGGATGGCACGAGTGGGCATCGGTGGTGCACGAAGGCGAACAGAGAGAATCGACAAGTTAACATATAGTTCAATATGGCGGATTCCAAGCGTGAAAAAGGGTTACGGTTCTGAAATCTGTGCCAGGCCGTCTTCACGATAGAAAAGCCTTGTGGTGTGGGTAGTTCGTTCATCACCGGAGGTCCGTTCCCCGACTGGATACTACGCCCCCTCCAGCTCGATGCAATGCGATTAAGCGAGAAATCTTGAAGTGGGGAGTGTTTCCCCGTCTAAAAATGCGACATGCGGCAGCAACTTAATGTGTCGTCATCGGAAGATGATGCTTTCCTCGAAGTCCGAAATTACATTGATTGAAAGTAAGGACGACTTCGAGGGGAGCGACACTACTGGCTACGATTGGGCCTCTAGAAATCACATAACAGCGATCCCAAAGCAGCGTTCGACGATTAGCTTTCGAAAGCGAAACCCTGTCGTTTTCCCGGTCAACACTTGGCTTTAACGTCCGGGCGGCGGATATGTGCATGCTGCACGATACCTGCTGTTCCCGCTCTCGTTCAGTTTGCACATCATTACGTAGATGGCAGGACAGAAAACGCGGACTTGTGGAGGGTTTCTATCGTCCATTAAAAACTGCATTCGCGCCGTCCGCAAGCAAACCGTGAAGTATTTTGGCTGCACTGCGGGTAACCAGACTTGGTGGCGGTGGCGCCCAATGGAGTTCACTAAAAGGCAGGAGTCTCAAACCCATTCAAGTGCGGGAGCCAGACAGCTTACCCCCGAAAGATCGAGGGCCAACAGGAAGTGGACCGGGGGGGGGGGGGGGGGGGGGGCGAAAATACATGTCTATTTTGGGACTAAAAAATACACATCAGTGGTGTTTAACGTAGCAAATCCGCCGACTGTCCCAATGACACCCCAGAGATTTTCGACAGAAGGAACCTTGTGATTTCTGCTTTTTTTTTAATTTCACCGTTTTGCCATATTTAGTTTTCATTTGCAAATACGACTACTTAAGGCCCACGCCTGGTGTAAGAAGATTTAAACACGAACGCACTGGCAGCTTTCAACAGAACGAGGACAAGCACATCGTCCTTCACCTGTTGCACAGTTCACAAGGCTCAAGAGGCACAGGAAAATATCTTCATATGGCAGATCTTGCTTTCCTGGTGATTTTATAACAGCATTATAAGAACCTGCTTGCATATTAAAGGCATTTGTGACTGCTAGGAACCTGAGCTCATAGTTCTATCTTCGGCAGTTGCTCCTGCTGAGCAATAGTGTGTGGAGTCGAGGTGCCTCCTTGAGCATAGAGCTCGCACTTGCAAGCCCAGTAGTGGTAGCGCCATTCTAGTAGATTTACATGAGCAAGGGCTGAAAACCAAATATTTAGACGAAGTAGTATTCCTTCCCAAGTAAAACAGAGTGGTGTAACATGTGTGAACACATTGTATTAGCCGAGCTCCTTTTTGAGCGGAATTGAATCGACGATATAGAACTATCATTTATGGCGCATGTGGCGCACGAGGCATGGGAACGGGGGCTTGTAGCCGCGGGATGGTTGCGGGCCGCATACCAAAGATTGGCGGGCCGCATGCGGCCCGCGGGGGGGGGGGGGGGGGGGGGGCATGTCTAAGACCCCTGCTGTAAGTATATGCAGCGAGAACAAAAAAACAAAAAACACATGCCGTGCGCTTCTTCGGAAATAGCGGAAGGTTTACGTATCAAACAGACTAGTCGGAGAGCCAGAAATTTGTCATTGCAACATGCTTTTCCGAATGGGCAAGTAGTAGGTCGCTAGCGTGCCGCCTGCGTCTTTTGAACAAGCAGAATGGATAGATGGATGCATGGCATACGTTCATTTATCTATCAAACAAAAAAAGTGAAAGCCGTTTACAACTCCCTGTAACGCCGAATTGGAGCGCAGCTCTTGAGGAGGAGGAGGGAAGGATACTGAGGGGAGGGTACAGCCCTCCTCCTCCTCCCCTCATTCTTGAATATGCTCCGAGTGGGTCACCTGACCTTGGGGGGACGGGGTTCACGCGCCCTCGGGGGGTCACGTGACCTTAGGGGGGGGTCACGTGACTTAAGGAGTCACGTGACCTTGGGTGCCACGGTACCTTGGGGGTCACGTGACCCTGGGGGAGGAGTCACGTGACCTTTGGGGGTCACGTGACCTTGGGGTGACCTTGGTGGGTCACGTGACCTTGGGGTGACCTTGGGGGGTCACGTGACCTCGCGGTTACACTGACGGCGACGGCGACGGCGACGGCGACGCCGACGCCGCTCAAGCCGGAAACGGGCGCCTAAGAGCTGCGCTCTAAAACTGTTAAAGTGGCGCGCCTAGCGGCTGAACGTTGCTCTTGAGACGACGGAGGAGGCTCATCGATTTCCGACTCTTTTCCCAGGCACTGAACGTATACAGGAGGCACTGTCTGTACACCAACGCCTAGCTTTGACGCCACGTCGTTGCAAAGGCACTGTTCTCGGTGCAGCGCGTGCGCAGACGTCTCATTTGACGGGAGCATGGTTTCTGCTCAAGCGCAATGCCCACACTTGCTGCAGGCAAACGCGGGCCTGTTTGTAAACCCCAAGTTGATCTACACGGGACAGATTCCTTGAATGCACATACCGTTTCTGTTTTATATGTTAACGGAACATGGTGACTAGTCTATATTGTGTCCTTTTCGTAAATTTTAAGACACTATTGGATAAATTCAGTAGCCTTTTATCGCAAATTGTTTTCTTAGTGTTAAAATATACGCCATAGTAATGAAGGTCGCTACATCAAATAAACGTCATTAAATTTCTCACCAGGTGTCACTCGGCATGACCAGGATCATCAAATTGTGCACAGAAGACGAACAGGAGGAGGAGCCTCAGGACTACAAGGTTTCTCGCAAGACGGGTGCGTTAGGTAGATCTTCGAGTTTTAAAGGCGTGCTCTAGAAACACCATCACTAGGACACAAGAACAACACAAGACGTCATCATTAGTGGATCCCCTACCCGCCGCATGCGGCAACGAATATCACGAGTGTCACCGGAAAGTGGTAAACGCGTCCGTCTTGGCGACTCGGCGCTTTGAGATGCTGCAAGACACACTGTCGGCGATGTTCACGCAATGTAGGAGGCGCTGCATGGGTCCACCTTTATTGACGTTTGGAGATGAGAGGCGCAGTCATTATATGTCTCCTAGGCGGCATTGCCTGTAGCGACAATAAGGAGCTTCTTCACAAACACTAGCAGTAACAGTCATACATTCCTTTTTAGTCCACGTGTGAAGTTCTTCTCACATGCACGCGAGTATAGCGGAGAAAGTAATTCCCAGCCTCACCGACGCTGTCGGAATATTACGGCGTATCTAACACGCAGGCGTCTTGTTTTTTCAGGTGAGATCGTCATGGAGAAATGCGCCTTCGCATGGACCAAGAGGAAAGAGTGCGTAGAGAGCCCAACCCTGCACTCCGTATCCCTGGATATTGCGCCGGGATCTCTCGTTGGGGTCGCAGGTTTTGTGGGCAGCGGCAAGTCTTCGTTCCTCTCGGCCATTCTTGGAGATATGCACTGCATAGAGGGCACGGTCAGAACCGCCGTAAGAGCCTCTCAATGCGCACATCACCTTTTTCACTCTTAGTCTTGGAGAACCTTATCGTGAAGCTGTACACGACTGAATTCCGAAGCCTAATTTGTCGCAAAATGATAGTGCAATGCCAACCTTCTAATTAGGCATGTTTTATGTGTTAGCGTGACAAGGGACCCTGGGATAGCGAACCCACTTTCTGGAGTTTTCATGTCTACGCAGACAAATCGAGCCTCACACCGGGTCGCATATACGGCCTGCAAGTTCGTCTGCTCTTTACGCACCTGGTGTCTTTGTTTACACCCCGAACGCGACCATGTTCGTTTGTTTCCCCCCCAGCCTCAACCAATTACGTCGTGCGCTTGGCTGTCTCGTCATCGGGCGTTCCCTAAGTGTTCTCGATGTTGCCATTTGATTGAGGTGTCCTTTCTTGCGTTCCGATGGGCGAAAGACGCATTTCGGAGCAATATCTCGCCGTATAGGAGCGACATTTAAGGTTGTCTCATTATTGGCGTTCAAAACTGCAAGTCATGCTGAGAATGTAACTTCATAACTTGTATTTTTGGAGGGCCTGTCGGGTTACAAAAGAATGTTTTAAGGCGTCTATTCGGGCAAGGTCGGAACACCGAAAAATCGGAAGAAAAGCTACAGCTGTTGGCATCACTTGTGGCGCCAACTTCGAAGCGACATATTTAACGCCTACGGGAAACGCCGAGCAGATGTCGTGAAGTGTCCCCTTTTTGACGGGTAAGAGCCATATCAAAGGTCTGGGGATACTTAGAGGAAAAAATCTACTAGGTGCTATAAAGTGACTATTTTTTACGCTTAAAAAGTGTAAATCTTTGAAAACATAGTGCGCATCAAAAAAGTTCAGATATAATTATACATTAAAGAGTTAGTGGTCCGAAAAGGACGGCGAAGTGTGTTTCCGATCATACGGTGGCAATTTTGACAAGTGCTGTGGGGCGTTAACACGAGGAGTGCAACGACACGTACATCTCGTGGTATAATGCCGCACCAGCAATTTTTTCAGAAAAAAAACAATTTTGTGGTTGACGCAGGGCCGCATCAGCTACGTCCCTCAAGTGGCCTGTGTGTACAACATGACCGTCCGGGACAACATTTTGTTCGGCGAAAAGTTCGACTCAGCACGCTACGCCAGTGTCTTGCGGGCGTGCGAGCTGCTCAACGACATCAACAAGTTCCCCGCGGGAGACCTCACAGAAGTTGGGGAAAAGGTGGGCCTTTTGAAAGCATTTCCCAGTAAAACCAAAATCTTCGGCGAGAAAAAACTTTTTTTTTCTAAAACTGCGGGGATTATTAACTAACCTTTCATGGCAGGCACGTAGCCAGGGGGGGGCCCCTTCCCCAAAATGTTTCATTTTGCTGAGACCTCCTGTCCCCCCTCCCCCTCATACATCATTTTGTCATGGGCGGGCGCCCCCCCCCCCCCCCCCCCCCCCCGAAACAAAATCCTGGCTACGTGCATGTTTCATAGTATACGCTCCTGAAGACAGACACAAAGCCCAAGAGGGCCAATTAAAACCGACCAAAGCTGGCACTATGCCTCACGTGGGTTTCCCAGTGGTCCGCGGCCGACAGGATCCACCAAGCTGGACCAAGCGTGTGTCCCAAGCGTGGCACAGCAGAATTCGTGTTCTTTAAGGGGGGGTGCAACGATTTTAAGATGAAAAGAATTTGCATCTCGTCATTTTTACGTTTGTTATCGTGTCCCGGAGGATAGATGAAACATCTCCCTTAATAAAAAAAAATGTCGCGATTCCGCTGCATAATCGCAAACCAGAATTCGAGCTTTTTCCCCCACCTGCAGCGCGAGTGGCAGCCGAAGGAACTACGGCAAGGAGCTTACGGGACTTCGCTCGGCTCTAAGTTGCAGCATAACGCCCGCTTATGTACGCAGAGAGAGGGAGAGGAAGCGTCCTCCAAGAGAGCACACGGGAACCCAAACGACACCCCGCATTACGTCACTAGGAGTGCGACCAGGTGTGACCCTGAAGACTGGGAGTGAGTTGAGGGGTGCCAGAAATGCCAATATTTATCTTTCTTTTACACAGCAACTGGGACACGCAGGCGAAATCGTTTTTTTTTTTTTTTTCCTTTACTTCAGAAATGTCAGAGGGCCACTTCCACCTGTTTTTCACCCAAGTCCAGAAATCGTTGCACCCCCTCCTTTAAAGGACCCATGAAACGAATTTTAGGCTGGAGTAAATCAATTTATATTGGAATTTTACTAATAGCACATCGTTCAGTGGGCCAAAAGAACAAAGGTAGAAAGTCAGAAGCCTGACTTTCGCTACGAAAATTTGCAAAACATAGCGGACTATTTCGTACCTCCTTCCCTTCGTAAACTCTCCGCCTTTTCACTGTGATACATCCGCGGACCCCGCAGCGCGTCACCGGGCTACTATAGTCGGTTACAAGTCAAGAAGGTAGGAGAAGCTCCTCCCACAAGTGTGATGCGCCCGTTTCAAATATCTCCGCAGTCGAAAGAAGAGTTCACTGGAAACGCTCCTTGTTCCGCTTCAATGGATTCCCACTTGTCTCCGATCCCACTTTTTAAGAAAGCGACCTTTGTATTCATCGGAGAGGGAACCGAGTCCCTGAAAGCAGCCTTTGTATCCATCGGGGGGGAAGCTAATCCCCGAAAGTCGTATTTGTTTCCGTCGGTGGGAGAGAACTCTAATCTCCCTCTCGTGGCTTCCACAATGCTAAGTCAAAGTCGAAAGATAAAGCAAATATGTACAGAAAGGCAAGACCCTCCTCGCGCGTTGTCCGCGACGTCACGGAAACGGTGGGACGCTATTGGATGCAAAGGTGGCGGAGGGATATCTGATTCCCTTTGAGGGGGACTTGCCGCTACCTTCTTAACCGGTAACTGACTATAGCCACCATAACCGGGCCCCCGCAGCGCGTCACCAGGGCCCAAGCGCACGTCACACGACACTGGACCTCACTTAATCCCTTTACCCCTAAGCTGACATTGCGGTGGAAGCTACGCGCTTGCCGGACTTGCCGGACCAATCAGCCGTCTCCCTTTCATCACCTGACCTCATTCTCTGCGGGTTGGTATGCGCGAGAGGGCATGATCACGTGGAAAATGTGTGGCTGGCCCAACGAGCACGTAGCTTCCACAGCACTGTCAGCTTCGGGGTGAACGGGGTGGGGAAAGCAACTAGTCGGAATTTTGAGCGACGGGCTAATCTTCTAGGGGGACAATGGCTGTGTCCGGCTAGTCAAGCGAGATTCCGAGCAAGAGGGGACTCCCCCCTTTCCGACTTCTTGAACTGTTTGGTACAATGCGCGATTTATGAGTTGAGAAGGAAAGCTAAACAGAAAAAAGTTGAAAAAGCGTTTCATGACTCCTTTAAGTACACGGCGTACGTCGGGGATTTGCGGTGCGCGCGTCCTTTTTCACTTTGAACATCAACCACGCAGGCAGCACGACTTGCTTGGTTGCCCCTCGCAGTCAACTAGTCCATATTTTTTTTGGTTTTTAGGAAATTGTGGACTGACATAGAGCCCTTTCCGACAGCCAGCAGACGGTTTAGGTGGCAGTTTGGACTCCCGTAATGAGAACGCTCTAGGCCTCTCTTAAACTTATATACAATAGCACGCAAAAGGAGAACACGAAAGGAGAGCTTCTTCAGTTCCTTTAATAATCTTTTCCTTTTGTGCTATTATATATATGATGTTTATCCAACCAGCCCGGCAATTGATTTTAATTCTGTCAAACTACTCAAGCGGAGGGAAGTTTTCCAATGAGAAAAAAACGTGCAAAAGCGCACCGTAGTACGGCATATGGCGAGAGTTTAGAAAAAAAACGGCAACTGCCATGTTCTGTTTGGCCAGCCCTTGAAGAGCTATCCACAGAGGACACGCCATATACCTGTGCACGGCATGCGCTGGGCGAAAGAGAAGGTCTTGCCTCCATGCAGCCGTGGTGGCGCTGTCGACGGCACTGCGCCTGCGCACAAGCTTCACTTCACGCGAATTCGGTTTGTGCGCACGCGCAGTGCCCACACCTGGTGTGGGTAAACGTTGGCTTGTTTGTAAACAGTGTGCTGGTCTATACCCTCCGCTAGCGTCCTTGAACGAAGCTTCGTTGCGTGCTCGTGTTGTAGGGCGGGAAACAAACGCACTCAACTGCGGTGTCAGTCTCTAACCTCCCTGAAACAAGAAATGGAAGGAGATAACATCAAGGACATGAGTAGTACAGCTGTTCGATTTGCGCGGTTGATGTCCATATACTAAAAACACGCGCGCGTCAAAACGTTCGAGATTTTTTTTTAAAGCGTGGACGCTTTTTTGTCTGTGTGTGTGTGCAGAAGAAATGGGCTTGTTTAGACAGAGCTAGGTACCTTCTGTAGCTTTAGCAGGGCTAACGCGACGGGAATGCCATACAGCACTAAGCGCTCGGATCATGAAAACTATTCGGACACGAGGCCGAGTGACAGGCATTTCAAATAGAGCGCCACAACTAACGTACAAAAATTCTATAACAACACAAAGAGCCACAGGGAAAAAAAAGTTGGGACGAAAGAGCAGCTTTTATGGGTTGTGATATTCAGAAGCCTCATTTCTTATGAAGCAGTAGCCTGCTGCTGTTAGACATTGATGTCTTCGGGCGTTCATATATATTTTACATATAGTAGATTTCATACATGTCATTGCACAGTTTCCCGCAGTATGAAAGACCCATTCGTTGAGGCAGTATCTGAGGCAGCGCCAAGCCCGCTATGGTGAGATTCACTTTAATATTTAAAAAAGGAAACACGAACGACATATTTTCCGTCCACTAATGTAGACCTGGCGAAAGCAAATCGAGTACAGCCTCCCGAAACTGTTTTGTCAAGTGTGTCTATCGTATTGTTGGAGACTGCACATCGACGATAGTAATTCGCGAATTTTCTAAAATCGTTACTTTGTCGAAGTCCTACTAGCATTTACATACGCGTTCCACGGCAGTCTTTCTGTGTTGTCCTGAACTGCATAAACAACCTTTTTGTCTAGGGTACAACGTTGAGTGGCGGTCAGAAGCAGCGGATTTCGCTAGCTCGTGCCGCGTACAGTCGTTCCAACATCTGCCTGCTGGACGACCCGTTGAGCGCCTTGGATCCCACTGTCGCCGCCAGAGTTTTCAAGCAAGTGGTGGGAAACGGCGGCCTCTTGAAAAATCAGGTACGACACGCCTAGCCGCATTTAAAAATGCAAAGAAGCAGGAAGCATACATTCTAAGTGTTGTAATTTGCGGTTTACTGAATGGACAGCACAAACTATTATAAAGTTTAGTAGATTGTTTAGTCAATTCCGCTGCGCTATCCCCAATCCGCTACGACCTCCTCTACATGTAACGTATCAGGGCCACACTTGTACGTTTTAGCAAAATCTTTCTAACTCGCTACAAAATAGAGCGGTGCGTGAGCAAACGCAACGTCACTAGCAACGTTTCAAGACACCAAAGCTTGCGTAACATTGAGTCTTGCAGAGTGATTCTTAGTAATAGTTTATTAGCGCCTGTTACCCAGGTGCATGTTCGTGAGAACAAAGAAATGTGGAGAGCAAGTCGTCTGCTTCTTGCACAGGAGTTACGGCGAATTTAGAACGATGCCAAGCTCTGATTGGCTTTGATTGAAAGGATAGTTGGCGAACCTCAATGCTAGATGCCTTGATGTCCATCCACTATTTGTTTAATCAGCCAATAAGATCGCGACGTTCTAACAGCATTGCAAACCTAGTGCAAGAAGCAGACGGGCTTGCGTTCCGCATTGTGTCAACGACTTCAAAGTGATGTGTCGAAGCTATCACTGGGACTGCACTCTAAATTATCACAGGACTGATATTTTTTTTTCACCATCTGTCATGGTTTTAAAATTTAGTCACTGATATGATAAGTAAACACGGGCGTGGTTCATCACGTACGTGCTTCTTGCTTCGTCACTGGTTCTGTGGCCTTCTTATCGGCTGATAAAAAAATCTCATTGGCTGAGGATATATAAGACACTCCAGAAAACCCCAAACTGCGTTTTTTATTTTATCAGTGACTATTAGAAGGTCATGTTTTCCCCCCTGCATTGTTGTAACAAAAACTTAGCCAACAAGTGCGCATTGTTGGAAAGATAATCATGTTGCGTCGGATGCTAAAAACATTGATTGTAAATGGGCATCATATGCAATCAATTTTTTTTTAGCATACTGCGCAACGCTAAAGAACAGGGGAATGTTTGCCTTCAAATCAAAAGACTAACGGCTAAACATCAAGATAAGCGAATTTTTTTATTGTTATTTTTTTATTTTATTTTATTCGCAAAGATTACGCGCAAAGCAGCACGGTCAAACGAAAGAAAGATCAGAGGGGCGGAGTTTGATACAAACAACGTGAACGAGTATGACAGAGCACTGTACCCTGCGTGAAACGCGACTTATTTTAATGTATAGTCCTGCGTTTGCATTAGTTGCCCTTTGTCGAATCTCTCGGATGTTTCCTTGTTGCTCGTTTGCGTAAATCAACTCTATCGAGATTATGAACCTTCCTTAACCGGCTAAGTTCCTAAATACTAGTTTACGTCCATTCTAAGCGGTGTGTGACCTTCAAATGCTGTATATAAGGTATCACGATTAACATTTTCTGCGAGTTGAGACATCACATGGAGGCGGGGTGGGAAAGGGGGGGGGGGGGGGGGCCTTTGGTGGTTGAGAGAATAAAACAAGCTTTCAAATGTTGCTTTCCTTTTGTTTAAGATGTGGCCACCTTGCGACCCTTTTACGCCTGTCTCATGTAAGAATAACCTTGCAGACTCGAATTCTGGTGAGCAATCAAGGACACATACTCAAACACATGGACCAGTTACTCCTGATGCACGGCAAGACAGTGATTACGCATCGCAGCATTGCTGACTTGGTTCAAGATGACCGGGCGCCAGAAACACTGCGCTTGGGTGCGAATATGCCGCCGTCGCAGATGACTGTCGATGCAAGGTGTGTCAACGAAACTCTATATATATCTTAACGTTCCTTTATAGCACTAACCGAACTTTTACCAAGACCTGAGGTCATTCTGCATACTGACTTTGCTGAGTTGGAGTAGGTTTGTTATCGGTTTGTAGACCTCAGGGCCCCCCCCCCCCCCCCCCCACCACCTACAATAATTAAAGCCTGTGAATGGCCTCCTCTATATCTACGTAACGACCACACACTCCGAAACCCCAACTCACCAATTGAGCCCGAGCCCGACGCCGGGCGTCCTTTAACACGTTAGAGAGTTTTACGGCACCGTTTTTGCATATCCAAAACGGTACGAACTGCGCATGTTTTACCCCAGAGAACGTTATCTGGGAGTTCCCTGAGCACGCTACAGCTCGCTTCGAGGCCTTGGCTGACATCCCGGTAGCAGACCAAACTAACACCTTTGAAGACTGGGTGATCCCACAGGACCGGCCGCCGCCTCCAGTGGGCTCCTGTGGAGTCAGCTCTGCAGCTTCTTTTACGCGGACGGTAGACCAGCGGGGCACTTGTCCCGATGGCCATCGCTGACTGCGGACTCCTTTTAATGGTCCCATCGCACGGTCCCGGGTTGAAGCGTTTGGCGACGCTTGTGACGTTGATTTGTGAAACGGCCGTTGACCGCTCTCAAACGCGGCTGTGTGTGTATTCATTCTTCTATTTTTTTTTTCTTTTTTGCCGCTGGGGAAGCTTTAAAGGAAGAGCAGCCACGCATGGCAATAAAGAAAGACGTCTTCTCAACTCAACTCAAGACTCGCATATGCAAAGTTCGAACCGGAGGGACTATCGTACCATATCTGATGTGCAAAAACGGTTCCCTCAAACTCTCTATCGATTAGAAATAAAACCTATTTAAACGCTGACGCAGCACTCGTGCTCAACCTATCTCTGCTTAACCTCACTGTGAGGACGTCGAAATGTTAGTTCAGAAACTATGATTACTATGTGGTGTCGCCTCAGTCCGCTCACCTGAATTTCCTAAGCTTTGGAAACGATCTTCCAAATATCCAACGCATCGCGTTGTGATTCAGCGCATAAATGACCCGATTCAAAAGAGAGATTTTGAAGACATGTTATTGTTTTCATGTCCACGGAGCTTAAATAACAGGTCCATTCTTATTTATCTTGAAAAAAAAAATCCATCTTAAAAAAGAAAAAAAAAATTTTGATTCTTTTTTTGTGGGGGTTTTGGGTTTTTGCCGACATTGTCTCGTATAATGACCAGCTTGCTTTAAGTATTTTACGGATCATTCAATTTTTTTTTATTACTGTTAGTGCTAGCTATCGTATTATCAGGATTGTACTCCGAGCCCAACAAGCAATTTTTCGTTGACAAAAAAAAAAAAAAAAAAATTTCTTTAGATATATCGCTTTTGGTGCATCGACCGCGCTTGATGCCTTGTCGCCACCTAAAAAGAATATATATTATGCACACCATACATTGCGAAATACCTGCATTATTAATTCACAAATCAACTTTTACAGAGCATAGGGTAAGTCATCATAAACATCCTGTGTCATCCACAAAATCTGTCACGCCTTGTCACGTTGAACGGTCTTGAAAAAAAAATTATTGTGTGGTCAGCACCTACAGATTGTTCGCACATCGTAAAATTCAAATTTTAAAGATGTACAGTCCGCAGACTATAGTCTGGAAAATGCGGAAGACAGTTTAACTTGAGGCAAGTCTCAGCTGAAACCAAGGCGAGATCACAGGGGCGCTGGTGTCGGCCGTCCTATTTGTCCCCTTGCTCCTTGGTTACTACGCTCAAACTAACTGATTAAGATATAGTTATGATTAAACCAAGAAGCATTATTATATAAATAAGTTTTTTTTCTAAATGCAAGTTAGAGTGTGGTTTCTAACACTGACATTTTGCTACCCCTCGACCAAATTATGAGTGCCTCCGAGTGCTTAAAAACGTTTGCGTTCCTTTCAGCTTGCAACATTTGAAATCCAAACGAGACATGGCAAGAGGAAGGGTCATACGAAAGGAGGCTTCATCGTCATCTATGGTAGGCTGACTTTCAGAATTAACTAGCGTCATAGGAGCTAAAAAAATTCAAATTTGAGTCTTTTCCGTTGAGTGACCCTAAGCTAATTCTAAAAAGAAGCAAAGTTGGCAGATGAAAAAAAAAACAGTTCGCAATATGTACGAAAGCTTTAGCGACTGTAGGGGGCGCTGCGGACATAGATTATCCCAAATATAGCACAGTTATTTTGAGATCTAATCTGGATTTTCTCTGTGTTATAGGGCCCTGAAAGCCCCGCGAAGCCGAAGTATTATGAAACTTTGTATTTCTTGGCTGGAGTCTTGGTATTTGGAATCACCAAATAATTGCCAAAGTTAGGCTGCAGGAGCGGGTTTTTCGGTTGCCACCTGGATTTTTGGGCCGCGTTCCCTAGCGAAATCCAGAATTAGGCTTCAATCTTGGTTGCTTTATTGCACGTTCCCAACAAAAAACCCAGTATAACTTATTCCTATCTGGCCCGATAGATTTCCAGGTTCATAATTTAGATAGTGGAAAGTTACACTGGGTTTTTTTCAGCAGACGTGGCATGTTTGGGACTAAATCGACAAACGAGTGCCAGAGCTGGCCTTCACTCTCATATTGCTTGGTTTCACCTATCCTTGGGCCTCGTTTCACGAGCCAATGCCAAAATTAGTTCACTTCTGGTAGTAAGATTGCCACGTGGCATCTTTGGGCCTAAATATTTAGAGTGTGCCAGAGTTAGGCTTCACTGCCTGGTGAATCGTATGGCATCTGGCATTTCTGGGCCTCAATTCCCTAGCAAATGGAAGAATTAGGCTTCCCTTCTAACTTTTGACTTGCCAGGTGGCATCTTTGGCTTATGTCTACCACTTTGACAATGGCGTGGCGAAGGAAAAAAAAAGTCAGACTTGTCATTTATCTTGCTAGTTATGTTCAAAGGATACGTACATCCTCCTGAAATATGAAAGGCCCATCCGCAACGCAGTTTATGGAGGATCTACTGAATCCGCTTTGACCTGGACAGTGTTTTTCAGTATGATAAAATACATGAACATTTGTTTTATTCCCATCTTCAAAATAATGTGTCTGGCAAGTGCGGGCTCAACGCTCAAACTTAAGAGGCTAATGAGTGTTTCACATTGCATGAGGGAGTACATACGTTGACCTTGACAAGAGGATTAGTCAAAAATGTTACCAAACCCAAGGCAAGATTGCCAAATTTTGGCCGAGTGAGGCGTTTCTCTGGCGTGCTGACTGGGATATTGGTCAAAAAGACGGTTGTTTTGACCGTTAAAACGGGGTCCAGCGAGATGAGCGTGTTTGGCAACACAAACAAAATAGATCACCCTATGGGCACTCCAGCGACGTGCTACCAGTGCGACAACACCGTTGCTAAAAAGCATGCTAATAAAATATAGTTTCATCCGTTTTGTAGGAGGTTTTCAATGCAAGTTAAGCACTTATGACCGATATGATGAAAAAAAAACGTACATTTTACGCGAGGATAAAGTCTACTGGATAACCAGAATTATTCCATCCTACAGGATACTAAGGTTTCAATCATCTTGATCTTCTCGCCGTTCACCTATATTATATATTCCATCCTCAAATGTTCTGTACCCTTAGTTTATTAAACTTCATTGCTGACCTGGCCAACGATGCTTGATGAGAATGGTCATTTGACGAAATGCCAGGCGTGATGTGATGTCTCGATCTTTTTACTTACTTCGCTACAGGGGACACTCGAAGTGGTGTGGTCCTTATGCAAGCTTTCCGGTTTCTGTGTGCCTATTGGCACCGCCTTCTTCATCGCAAGCGCAGTGGCACTCGCGTGGCAACAACTCTGGATTAAACAATGGACGGATGCCAACTCTGAGGACAGTACCGTCGATCCCCACAGTCCCTCATGGGTTAAGGGACTGGTGGCCCTTTGCCTGAGCGATGGTAAGCAGTCCAAATAGAGCAGTCACTTGGACAAAAGCTTTACTCTCATAGACTATTCAAATGTAGAACTTTGTGCAAAGCAAACTTTTAGGACCCTCACTTTTTATTTATGCTTTTTTTCGTGGAAACAGCACCTTGATAATGTCCGCCAGGGACAAGCAAAATATATTGAGCATGCTTTATGTGCGGTTGCTTATAGAGTGAAAGCACAAAGCCAAAGTGTCCGGCGAGAATTTTAGAATGCTTAAAAAACGCAGACGTATTTTTATTTATACCTATGCTTTGGTTCTGCCACGTACCTCTGACAACCGGTAAAATTAAAAGAACATGTTTAATACCTTAAAAGAAACAAAAACTAACATGAAAAACCTATGCGATATGCAGAATTTTGCTATGAAAAGTACTCAACAATGCTCACTGTTAGCTCAGCGTTTTGTTAAACAACAAAGAACTGATTTTGAATGTGCCCAAAAGTATCCTAATTTAAAAACAAAAATATCAAGCTGCGTGAAAACAAAACTTTTTTTCATTAGTACGATTTTTGAAGTAAAGACGAGCATAAATTGCCACAAACTAAAATTAGCAATTTTTTCCCCTTTTGCTTAGTGTTGTTCCGTAGCGTCGGAGGAATCTTGTTTGCTCTGAGCAATCGTCGACTGTCCATGGGCCTGCACAATTCAATGCTGAGCCACGTCATGCACAGCCCGGTGCCATTTTTTGACTCCACACCACGGGCAAGACTGTTGAACAGATTCACAGTCGACCTGGAGTCGATCGACTGCCGACTCTACCTGGCCGGAAAGCTAGGGACCCAGAACATACTGATTACACTGTCCAGACTGTCCATCATCGGCAGCCAGACGCCGCCGGTGCTGGGTGTGGGAGTAGTTGCTGTCATACTTATGGCGATAGGAATGGTATGTCCTTTTTGAATGGATATTCTGATGCATGATTTGATTAGTGTCAGCCTTGTCTGACGTTCTATCCAATAAATGCCACTTCTAGTTCTCCTGCTGTATAGCGCTGAGCCTCCATGCTCAAGCAGGAGGTGGGGCAGCCCTGCCTTTTGGAACCTTACTCACTCGCCATTTTTCGACACCATACAGGTTATCACAGTACGGGCATCCAACAGCATCCGGTTCAAAGAAAGTACCCATGTGTCGAAGGTTTTGCAACACACCACGGAGACCATAGAGTCGTTAAGCACTATTCGGGCCTACGGGGCCGTGGAACGCTTCTGCAAGCACTTCTGCCGACTGACCGACGGCAACATGCGGATGACCTACGGCTTCATGGGGTGCTTCCGATTGACGAAGGTTTTGACCTCCTTGCTGGGATTTGTGATCGTGCTGGCGACCCTCATTTCCGCGGCTCTGTTACCTGCGGAAGAAGACGGCGTCTCAAAGTCCAGCAGTGTAGGCCTGGCGCTCAGCTCATCTCTGGCTGTGAGCTAATACAGTAATATATTGATATATCAGTGAAAAGGCCAGGTGCCTCTTTCTCTTCGATATCCCATATATCGCATGCGGTGAGAGTTCCCCCCGGAAAAATAATAAGTAATGTAACGGGTATTACGTATCTCCGAGGGGATACGTAATGTAACGGGAATTACGTATCCCCAAGGGGATACGTAATTCTGCCATGATTCTGGTGGTGGCTCTAGGCGACACACTTCTTCTGGAACAAAATTTGCTCGCTAAATCCAAGTTCTGACCAAACTTTATATTTTTGGCCAGAGCTCGGGCATCTTGGTGCTAGGTTGCAAAGCAAATGCCAAAGTTATCCTTAATAGCCCGATTTTTTTATTGTCATCTGACGTATTTCGACCTCAGTTTCTGAGAAAATTCCAGAAGCGTGTTCTCCCGCTTGTTCGGTTTTGCATCGGCCTCTTTAACTAATCTATACCACTTTAGCACTCACGTGATATGCCAGAGAATACCCAAACTCTAGAATGTCATTTGGCTGGTGCGGGTCAAAGCAAAGTAAGTACGTTGCTGTTAACTAGACCACCGAATCAAGAATCCTATGGCGCCCAAGTAGGGAGATTTTTGTAGTGTAAAACCCAAGTCAAATCAGCTTTTTTTTTTTTGTCTGGCGTGTTGTTTAGGTCGGTATTTTCCAAACTGTGGGTTGCGACCTCCAGGGATCTCGCAGCTGATTCAATTGGAGATCACGGGAACTTAAACAACACAACAACCCGCTAACTTAGCTTCTCTCCAGCGGCGTCGATGAAAACTTGCTAGAAGTCGCCGCTCAACACCCAGCTTTTTCACCGAAGGCCCTTATCTCATTGGCTGCGAAGGGGCAATGATATGCTAGAAACGCACCACGGGCTGCGTTTCTAATGTTAGTTGTAATTTTGGAATCAGACGGTACTTCAATATTTCGGGATACTCTGTTTCACTTTAAATCGGGAACTTAGCCGACTTAATCAACGGCTAAACCGATCGTGCACACAAACCTCGGGCAGAAGATCACTGCGCCTTCACTGCGCGTGATCGTTTTGGTCGGCGAGGTAAAACGATCAAAAACAATGAGTGCCTTTTCGGTGCACGGTGTGCGCTACTCAACTGACACCATTGAGTTGCAACGTCGACCGCGGTACGACTTGGCGTGAAACGGAGTATACAGCTATGAGGAATGACGGCCGATAACATTGGAAACAATATATTTAGTCCATGGTAAAAGAAGGACGAGTCCAAAATTATAATATAAATATATTTGCCGACATGTAAGGAGGCTACCCGATAGATGAGTAAGCCCTTTTCTTTGACTTCCTACATTCGCATGCTAGTGTTGGTACTCCGGACTAAGCGATACGCAGTTTGCAAAGCTCTAACTTAAGCTTCAAGACATGCTTGGGCTAGTTGGTGGATGAGCATCTTGGTTTAAAAACAGCGCGACGAGAAAAAGGCAACTCAAAGCGCACTCTTCTGTCTCATCTTTACTTTGTTCCTGTCTTTTCGCGCTGTTTGATACCGTGATGCTTAACTCAAGGCTGTTATAATATGTTTTACGGAAGAAATCCGACAGTGACACTTCTTTAGTCGTTGCTCCTCTCTTGACATCCGGCGTCTTGTCAAAAACACCAACTCCGGATAATTCACGCCTTTCAGATTCCAATGTCCTTGATGTCCCTGTGCATGGTAGTCTTCAACCTGTTCCAACTAATTGTGTGCTTTGAGCGTTGCATCGAATACACAAAGCTGCCGAAAGAGGTCAGTCCATGTTTTTATTTTTGCACGTTATAAAATTAAGCATCTCTATATGCCGATGGCCATCAAACATTCATCGTGTTCTACACATTTTCTGTGCTGCTTTTAGACCATTGATGTAGATGTAACTAAAAGAATAAGAAACATCATGTGCGTGGTCAGTTCGTCAGACACGAGCCATATTAACACCGAGTGTGTCTAAAAGCTGGAATCCCCGTGGAAAGTGTGACGGAACGCCAAGGAAACCGTTATGAAATGTGTGAGATGTACTTCAGAGGAAAAATAGTAGAAACAAACGCATAACTGAGAAAAAAATAACAAATTTCACATTGCGCCTCGACGGGAAACAAACGCACGACCCCATGATTATGAAACAGACACACTACGACTGCGCAAAACGGGATACTTGCGAAAAAGGGGGTAGGCCCGTTTACTCACTCTTCAAGCTCGAACACCAGACGCAGGACACCGGTGTTTGGCGTTTGTGTTCGAGCAGCTAGTGGAGACAAAGGAAGGTAGTTTTCCGTCTACTCAATAACGATTCGTAACAGAGATCGGTGCTCGAATGTGTGCGCGCGCTCTTTCCTGTTCTCCTCTCCCCCCGTTACAATTCGTATAACCAAACAAACTTATTTAAAAATATAGCTGCAACGTTCGCCACAAGCCCCAAACAATGCAGCAGAAACACATTGTGCGCGTACCGATTATGTCCGTAGAATCAAGACATATTTTTGACAGACCAGGGCTACCTTGGCTTCTTTGCCATTTAACTTGGGGGCCTGTAGGTATCGTTCAATTGCACATCCAGCCTGCGAAATATCATAACATTTGCGAAAAGTGCTCTTTAAACACGCCATTATCCCCAAAGGCGTGAAATAGTGCAGGTTGAGTGCCTGTAGACAATCGCATAAGCTCCTGTAGAATTAAACATAAAGAAAGGAGTTCATTTTAATCACTGGTGTTTGGTGGCGGACGAGCTCACAGCCGACCATTATCGGCAAACCCTTGCGCACATCGTAGTTTTTTTTTCTCGTTTTTTTTCGCATATTATTGGGGATTGCCTTGATAAACGCATTAGAATTATTGGTTTACCCAATAAAAAAAATCCGGACCGATCATTGTGCTTTGCGAAAGGACAACTAAACAAAGTACCGGAAGTCTACTGGGGCACGGAATACCAAGTCGCCTTCATGCTATCAACTACCCCCGGACGCGATGATAAAAAACAAAACGAAAAAAAAAAAGAAAACACCATGTAAATTATGCATTCAGTAGGGCCATAAATGTTTACTGAACCAGGCAAAACTTTCAGGAATTCATCATACTCTACAATGTTTTCATTCGCAAATACTTACGGCGCCCATTCTTAATGCTACTAGTACTTTTGTTTTTAAATACCTCGGTGTTTTCATCTCATTGTAGTATTGTGGTAATGTCACAAAGTTTCTAATACATCGACAGTGTCGATGTATTACAAACGTCGTGACATTACCACAATACAACAATGAGATCATGAAAATACCGAGGTTTTTTTTAAAAAAAAGTATTAGTAGCATTAAGAATGGGCGCCGCATGTATTTGCGATCGCTGCACGCATTCAAGCTCATTACTTTCCCGTCTCACCTTCTTTCATACTCAGTCTCACTTTGCGTCTAACTGTAGCCGAAGCTACGCCAAAGGTCTGTCGTCATGTCGCTTGTCTTTTGTGCGTTTGCTATACTCGGCAAAGCCAATCACTCAATGTAAATGCGCCCTGATCTTGCGTTGTTTTCTTTTCCTTTGCGTGATTTATTTAGACGGTTATAGCGAACGCAAATATTACGAGTTCTATGACGATGCACTTATGGAACTACGTGCATTGTAACGTCGGTTGCTGTCAGAATTAATGTCAAAGGGTTATAAATAAGCGCATTAGGCGCGGAAAACAAAAAATAAAGCTGTGTCTTGTGTCTTCTCAGTTCTGTATAAGATTTCTTCGTCGTTTAACAGATCTTATGTGAGTCCAGACAGGCAGATGTCTGCATGATACATTAAGATTGTAAGTGTAGGCTCGATTTTAGCAGGGGTTACCATTGAAGAAGGCACACGGGGATAGGGTGACGAGGGGGCTTATAGAAGATTTTCACATTTCATGTCATAGGCAATTATATGCCAGCAAACCGTCGTTGCCATTGCAAAAAAAAAAAAAAAGGAGATTCCGTTTTAACAGAAAAAGAGTCGTGTAGTGTGACGGTGAAAGATCTAGATCAGTGGTGGCCAGCGGCCTAAGAGCCGCAAACAAAACCACGAAAGTTGCAAGAGCCGCGGAGGGGGGGGGGGGGGGGAGGGGGGGGCAACATTTTTTTAGAGCAATAAACGAAACTCGAACCACTTTCAATCTATCCGAGGCAACAGCAGTCCAACTGTACGTAAGGTAGCAGTAGCAGAAGACTATCTAACCGCTACCTGTCTTTCGATTTAAAACCGGTTCCATTCTTTTTTTTGGGCAAGTATGTGTATGTGTGTGTGTGGGGGGGGGGGGGGGGGGGGGGGTTAGGGGAGCGAGCCGCGAGCCGCACTTTAACACGCGAAGAGCCGCATGCGGCTCGCGAGCCGCAGCTTGGCTACCCCTGATCTAGATTATGACCTTTTGATTGGGGTGCAGGTGTGGCCATGTGTGTTGTAATGTATTAAGGCATTATGTGTGTTCCTCTTTATGTTGTTTCTACCATTAATTTCTACAGTTGCGAGTACAGCTTTCTCCTCTCGTGTGTGTTTACCTATCGCCCTCCGCATGTTTTTTTTGTTTTTTTTTTAGCTGGTTGTTCAATTATGTAGAAAACTTTTAAGTTTGCTTCCCTTCTCTGACTCTCCTTGTCATGATCATAATTATTATTATTACCCTTGCGTACCTTCTCCAACATGGAGTAAGTAAGGTGTCGAGATAACAAAATGGAGCGCCAAATTCGTCTGCTTCCTTTGCACGGATTGTGGTGACACCAGAACGCCGAACTCTGATTGGTTCCGGTTGAAGGATAGTGGGTAGACCTCACGGCAGCTCGCTTTGAGGTCTACCCGCTATCCTTCAATCGGGGCCAATCGGAGCTCGGCATTCTGAGGCCGCCCAAATCCCTGTAAAAGTAGCAGACGAACTCGCGCTCCGCATTGTATTAATCTGACAGTCGTTTTTAGCTACTTCTGCCGATTTAGCTCGCCAAATAGTGCAAGTGAAGTAAACAATGTGTGAAATTTGCAGGAACAAGTTGAGAAACCCAAGAAGGACGGCGATACAAAGCGTGTTAACGATGGCTCACGTGCAGCAGTAGCTCTGTCCGCAAACGAGAGCTGGCCCACCGAAGGTCGAGTGGAATTTAAGGACTACTCAACGTCCTACAGACCAGGAGTTCTGCCCGATGTACTAAAGGGAGTGACGTTTTACGTTGACGCATATGAAAAGGTTGGTGACGATTTTCTACTTTAAAACCCTCTTCCGGTATGGTACGAACTGCATATATTTTTTTCAGGCCTGATTGAGAGTATAGACTATCTTATTACTCTAAAGGCAAGCGCCTGGAGAATAGACCATTGCAGAGATAGGCATCGCCTCCCGTTGTCTTTTTGATTTTCTCGGGCTGTCGACGGCACGTAAAGTAGTACACTCCCCATGAATTAAAAAAGGCGATTCATGTTGGTTTAGCATTTTGTGATTTCATAACAGAAAGAAAGCAGAACAATAACGAGATATAATCGGCTTTGGTGTGCTTGCTTTATTTTGCTTCCTTTGTGTCCTGAACTCGCTGTGGTACGAGAGAAGGAAATGCGCCACTTCGAGGTTGTACGCATGCAGCTTTCGAGCCAGCCCTATGGTACATCGGAACCACCCCACAATTCTCCGCGCCAAGCAGTGCAATGTAGTGTCGAGCCAAGAAATTTTCTGAAAGGTTTATTCCTGCCATATTTGTGTACATATGTGGTTATCAGTTTAAGTAGCCTCTAACGGGTTACCAAGCAATGTTACTACTGGGCAATAGTTTCAATGCGCAAACTTCAAATAGTGAAGGAAACAAACAAATTTATGCAGTATTTTGCATGACATTAGAGGTATGCAGTAGGCTGGTCTAGACCTATCGATCGCTAGAAACCACAAACTCTAATGACATCATCCTGACCACCAAAGTTGCATACCATCCTATTGTGTTAAATAGGTTTATCACCAGTGTTTCGCCTTTTAAAAGTTATCGCATTGCTTTATTCCTTCATTTATTCACTCTACGTAACATGAGTGCACAAATACGGCGTTCACTTGTTGGTAGCATTTTACCAAAAATAGGTAGCGCTGTATCATACTATCATAACCGTACTCCTCTTCACTTTGTCCGGTTCTTGCTAAAAGACGACCAAACTGTCCTTTAATTCCTTGTCTGCACCAAAGAGAGCGTAAAAAAAGCGTTCTTAGCGCATAAATAAACTCCAAATTACAGAGCGCTCAGTTTTCATCCGAACGCAAAGCTGGCTGCCCGACTATATGTCAAAATATCAGAACAATTAATTATCTTAATCAAAAGTTATCTATGATTTATTCTTTTTTTTTAAATGAATTCCGTCAGCTAACAAGTACGTACCTTAACTCAGTTAAGGTACGTACTTGTTAGCTGACGGAATTCATCCCCATGCATTCTGCATTCGTGGGTATTGCCTATCATCGTTTTCCAACTGAAAGTTTATTACAGTTGCTTATATTATTTGAATAATATTACAAACAGTTCTGAAATATGGAAATTTAGTCCGGACCGATAACGCTGAATTTGGGAGGAAACTGTGGGTTCGGCGCCGTGCAGTTTATTTTGCTGTAAAAATTAAAACAAAAAAAAAATGCAGGATGTAATACTTCTTTCTTGACACCATGTGTATTTACCAGTGCGTCATTTGTTTTTCTTTATACAGCTCAGCCTTTGGAAAATATACCCTCTTTTTTCCGTTACAAGTGTGCGCTATGATGAAACAATGGCCGCCCCCTGATTCACGTATTCTGCCTCGTGATGTCTAGGTGGGCGTCGTGGGTCGAACTGGAGCCGGCAAATCATCACTAGTCCTGGCTCTACTTCGAGTGCTCAAGGCCACGGAAGGATGCATCAAGATCGACGGCGTAGACATCTCTCAAGTTCCACTAAGAAGACTCAGATCCGCGGTCACCGTTATTCCACAGGTAGCGTACACCTCTAACGTTCACCTACATTTAACGAAAGAGCAAGCCGCTTATTACAAAGAATAGACTTGATCCTCGAAGTTCAATTTTTTCGAAGCATTGAAAGAAAAAGAGTAGGAAGAAAGAAGCTGGGGAATATGTAAGTGTAAATAGAAATTAGAAACACAAGACTGACTTTGTCCTGCATTACCTTCCGCACTTCCTTGTTTTCTCCGTGTCGAAACTTTGTCGTCTCCCCTGCGTTTTCCTGCTAATTACTGCCGAACATTTTTAATTTATTTTTAGTGACTCCAAATACTTAGCTCACACGATTGGTTCAACGCTACAGACGTTGGGTAAAACTTTCCGTCGTTAACAAAAAAAAAGAAAACGCTTACCTATTGAGTTATCTTTAATGACTAAGCTATACTTAATGACCTCGTGACCTTGCATTTTTGAGTTTCTTTTAAAAATCTTAAGGATTATAACGAGGGAAAAATTAAATGTAATTGATATCTATTCGCGCTGTTCCATCCAAGCATGAATAACCAACTAGCCCAAGCCTCCACTACCAAGATATTGTCACGAATTGCAAATGATGAGACGGCGAAAAGCTGAAGAAACCAAACGTTGGATGGGACGAACTTGTGCTCAAAACAAAATAGAGAAAGGCTAGCGTCACATTCGCCAATGTCGGCGAACAAGCAGGATCGAGCGCTGGGGCGAGACTGAGTGTGGCTTGCCACGGGGAGCACCTTTTGTAGCCGCGTAAGTCTCTGGAACATTCGGCCTAGAACGTTCTGCGCGTAGAACATTCGCAACTCAATCAGACAAGAGAACGCCAAGTAGAAAGAGTCAATAAAAGAACATTCCGCTGCCTGGAATAAGACCCAGATCTTCCGCACGACAGCCAAGCACGGTAACCATTCGGCCACGTGCGCGCTCGCTCAGCGACGTCTGTGGCAATATCTACTACTTTCTAATATTATCCTCTGTAACTAAATTAATGCGCTGGGGGATTGAGTGGCCGAGTCTGTTAGGGCAGATGGGAGCGCGGGAAGAAAAAAGCTCGCGTTACAGTACCAAGAGATCCCAGATTCAACACCAACTTCTGTTGTTTCAACCTGGATGAGCATCGTGCGGGCGTGCACGCGGTTGTGTGTCACTGTTGCGTGATGCACGTCAACGCTCTCAGACTCGGAATGAAACTGCAGTTTCAAAATGCCTCGTCTACTGAGGAGACTCCTAACGCCCAATGCGCCTAACAAACTTCCATCTGTCCAAACAAGCACACAACACAATTTCCCATTATAAAAAAAGCTAAAATAACTGACAAGAAAAAAACAATCAGGCGTGAAAACTTTTAAAACGTTCAATATGTTGAGTGGCACAGTCTTTGAAACACTCTGAAATGGAAGTGATTAAGCAAGAAAGAAAATTTTGACAATTTCGTTCTGCTTATTTTTAGAGTATTCCGCTATTCGCCGGCACGACCGTGTCCCGGTAACTAAATTCTTCTTTGTCAGTCTCACAATAAGTATAGAATTATTTGTCACTTGGCTCCTGTTCCTTTTGGTCCTCTCTCTTGCTAGGACCCCATTCTGGTTCGAGGAAGTCTCCGAGACAACCTGGACCCAACCAGATCGCACACGGACGAAGAACTCTGGCGTGCACTGAACCAGGCTCATTTGGGAGACCTTGTTACGAGGCATCCTGAGCAACTCCTCCTTCAGACCGGGGACGGAGGAAGCAATCTGAGGTTACCAATGCTTTAATATACATGTAGTAATTTGCTATAAACATTGGCGGCGATATTTATCGCCAAAGTCCAATAATGCGAGGAATGCAGTGCCGCTTCGATTGGTTGAGAGAACGTTAAACAGTCGTTTCGAGAGTGATCAAGAACCTGTAATCTTTATCACACTCGACGCTTTATTCACAGGGGAAACGAAATGCTGCATACGTCGCTCGATGGGAATTTCTCTGACCAATTTTGCGGGAAAACTGAATCAGTGCATGTTGCACGTGACGTCAGGTTACGGGACGTCGATTTCCCCGCTAAATTTAGCAGAAAAACTCTTTGTAACACTTGAATTCAATTTCCCCATTTCGTTTAGCTGGCAAATCGGAAGTGATGTTTATTTACGTGATGAAAACGTTTCTGCTAACGTGAGCGAGAAAATACAACCACACGAGGAGAGACGGACGGACGAAAGTTTGGAGTTGGGGATTCCACTGCAAGACATTCCCTGCTTTAAACACATACTGACAGATCTGTAGCCGGTAGCAGCAGGGGCGGTTGCAGGAATTTGCTGAGGGGGGGACGGGGGGGGGGGGGGGGGGGGTCAGGTGTTGGTCAGCGTACCATATGTTTAGGTGTTTAGGAACCTCCTCCCCCCCTCCTTCGTTGTACGCCCTAAATTTTACAGATGCAGAAATCAAGAGGGGGGTCAAGACATCCGGACCCCCCCCCCCCCCTCTAAATCCGCCCCTGGGTAGCAGCTTAAGTAATCAGGGGAAACTCCTCCCACTGCTTTCAACTTTACAGAGCGAAGGCTAGAGAGGAGGCGACCTTCTCTCCAGCGTTTGTTCTGCTGAAGTGAAGAGACGTGAAACGAGCATCCCCTGAACTCCCATCCTGTCATCGAATGCTCTCTTGGAACGCCAAGCTCAAAGTTCATTTACCGTTCCCGCGTAATGAGAATGCACAACATGAATGTATATATTTCTATGTATTCGCTTTCAATCAAAATACAAGCGAATACCTAATACTGTAAACGACTTATATGTCGCGGGCTTAATATTTCGCTATTTAGGTCAAAGCTGAAGTTTTCGAATTATTCACGGGTTCTAATTTTCGCGACGCGGTGGGATCTCAATATAGATTCCAATGTGTTTACATTTTGCCGGAATTGGTCGCGGGACCTATTTTACGCAAATTGAAGGCGATTCGCGAAATTCACGAAAATTAGGTCTTCGCAAAAATTAAGTCGTTTACAGTATATGTAATGAGGTTAGATTGCAAATTAAATAATTAGTTATCTCTAAAAGACGCAACGCTAACTGGATTGTACCAACACCTCCTCTAAACTGCGGAAAAAAGGGCCTACAGTATCCATTTCCATTTTTTTTAAAAACAGGTGTCATGTTTTGTATTTGTTTTTGTCTATAGACATCAACGAGGTACGGGGGATTAGAGCGATAAACTGGCAGCTCAAAGTGACCCCCACCAGGCCGCCGCCATGTTGCACACTTTTTACCACTATACATTAGACGTTATAGTTTTAAGTCTATATTTTAATAAAGTACCGCTCCCAAATAATTGCCTATTGATGATTAAAAATAGTAACGAGATCAGTTATTTTTCATTTGTTCTAAGTCCAAAATGTGCGTAAACGAAAAAAACTCGGGCAGCTTCGCAACGGCCTCGCTTCATGCCGTCAGCTGCGGTGCTCTATTTGGGTTTTTATCGGTGCTAGACACTGATCTCTGGGGCTAACAGTATTGAAAAATAGTTTATTATGTTTTTTTACAGCGATCGCAATACAAATCTCGGCCAAGTATTACGTAAAAGCCTCTGAATTTGGTACGGTCATCTGTCTAGCGGTAAAAATTGTACAACATGGCGGCAGCCAGGGGCGGGGGGGGGGTCACTTTTGCCTGGTAAACGGACTACCAGTTTGTCGTTCTCAGCCCGACGCGTCGTTGACAGACATGAAAAAACTGTGACTTTCAGTAATAATAATAACAATATTAATAATAATATTAATAGTAATAATAATAATAATAATAATAGCTTATTGCTAGCAGCAAAGAAAAGTTTAGTATTGCGGATACATCAAAGCCAACAGGAGGCTTGTGCGACGTCATCCTCCAATAATAAAAAAAAAAAACTATATGTAGCTGTGTAGCTATGAAAAATACAATAATATAAAACAGACAAAAAAGAGAAATATAAACACAATTTCATAAAGTTACTCACTCTAGTTATAACGTGAAGGTTTTACGCGACAAAATATTGTGGACAGACTAAAACGGAAATTAAGAGCAATGTCAAAGCAAAATGAAATACCACAAGACTAGAAAATATGCGGAAAAAAAAATTCACGGAAGGTGCCTTTTGTTAAAATGTCCTACAATCAACAGAATATTCATTTATGTTCTAGAAAGGCAGGCGCTTAAAAGTGGCACACATTACTAAGCAAGATGCGTCTACAATATGAATAAACCGGATAGAAACCGAAACCAATAGCTCCCTATAAAACGAAATATCTCTAAGCATCCTTTTAACTTTTCCCAAGGATCTTTCGGTTATAAGTTCAGGTGGTGAGTGAGAAAAATATATGGCATATAGAACGCACGCGTACATTCGCCATAATGAGTGCGGGAAAGAGGTATGGGTGAAAAGGGTGCGTATGTCGATGTAAATAGGAATTTAAACAATGATAAAAATATAGACTTCTGAACTTAATTTACGGGGCTACTGAGGTATCCTTAAATCATTCTTTGTATGTTAGTTCCTATATATATATATATATATATATATATATATATATATATACATATTGCCACGCGCTAGACACACCGGCAGATGGCACAGGCTATCGCATTAAGATAAGCACGTGACATTGGGCAGTGCCGCACACCAGACACACGGGCCGGTCGCACGAGCGTCTTGCGCTCGTGCCATCGCGTGACTGTGAGCTTTGTTTTTTGGGACATTCTTTTCATCTACTCCGCTGGGACTTGACACTGAAGTGAAGAAGTTAAAGTTCTTGTTTTTCCACGAAGCCGAACTACAGGGTGTCACAAAAGAAAATTTACACGGTCTTTTTTACCGCAAAAATAAACTAGGCATCGCCGAACGCTCATTCTCCGCCCAAAGGTAGAGCTAGAGGTCACAACCAGATGCCAAAGTTTCAGCCCGATCCGATAAGTTAATCAAAAGTTATAAATGATTTTCTGAAAATTTCAATGGGAAAATTGTGGCCGACGGAGTTTTCGAACACATGGGGCTCTATGGCACCAGAAACCGAAAATGAGCAAAAATGGGCTCCATTTTCCCATTGACATTTTCAGAAAATCAGTTATAACTTTTGATTAAGTAATCGGATCGGGCTGAAACTTTGGCATCTGGTTGTGACCTCTAGCTCTACCTTTGGGCGGAGAATGAGCGTTCGGCGATGCCTAGTTTATTTTTGCGGTAAAAAAGACCGTGTAAATTTTCATTTGTGACACCCTGTATTTTTGTGTTGCACATAAAGTCGTGACATTAAGTGGTGGAGGTGCGGGGTAATGTCCTCCACATGCTCATGTCTAGTACATCCTCGAACACCCGTGACCTCAGCCCAGCTAGGGACGCCCACATCGAAGGAAGCACGTCGTTAAGCACCGACGTTCGCTTAAGCCGACGACAGCAAGGCCTACCAGCGGAGTTCGGGCTTCTTTCGGACAAGGCTTCAGCAAGAACCGAGACCTCAGGCACCGGGATCATGTCTTCCCCTGCTGCCCCGAGTCAAATAGTCTTCCAGGTTCCACGAACACCGAAGACTTTCCACGGGGACCTTTACGAAGACGCGGAAGACTGGGTCGAGCATTTTGATCGGGTAGCGATACTAAACGGCTGGGACGATTCGTTGAAGTTACGGAACGTTTACTTCTCGCTTGAGGACGCAGCCCGCGTTTGATTTGAAAACCGAGAAACAAGCTTTACGTCATGGGACGAATTCAAGTCCCAGCTTCTGCGGACCTTCGCCAACGCACAGCGCAAGGAGAGGGCTGAGCAGTTGCTTCAGGCAAGAACGCAGCACCCTAATGAGGGCGTCGTCGCGTACGTAGAAGAGATGATTCGCCTCTTCCGTCGTGCCAACCCGATCATGACCGAAGAAAAGAAGGTGCGGCACCTGATGAAAGGCGTCAAGCAAGACCTTTTCGGAGGCCTCGTGAGGAATCCTCCTTCGACGGTGGCTGAGTTTGTCGCAGAGGCATCTACAATCGAGAAAACGCTACAGATGCGCTCCCGGCTGTACGAACGCCAGTTGCCGACTGCCTCGCAAGACCATCTAGTAACGGCTTTCGGTAGCACCAGCGACGTCCTTCGTGAGCTCATTCGAGGTGTCGTCCGTGAGGAACTTCAAAAGTTACAGACGCCGGTACTTCAACCCACCGTCGCCCCTGTGTCAGCAATCATCCGGGAAGAAGTTCAAAACGCCCTTGGCATAACACCAGTACAGGAGGAAGCCTCGGAACAGCGCACTCCGTCATACGCTGCCGCCGTGAGGAATTCCGCACCACTCATTGACTTCTCCAGGCAAGCTCCGCCTTATCCGCGGCCAACACGGCAGTTCACTCGACGCCCTAGCGAACAGCGCCCGCCGACAAGGAAGACCGAGGTTTGGCGCACGTCAGATCACAGGCCGCTCTGCTACCACTGTGGCGAAGCAGGGCACGTGTACCGACAGTGCCCATACCGCCAAATGGGACTTCGAGGCTTCTCACCTGATGCTCCCCGCCCGCGCTACGACCAGCGACCACCCGAAATCGAGGACTCCTCAACCAACCGGCTGGTGCTTCAGCTGATCGACGCCAGTCTAGGTCTCCGTCACCGAGACGTCACGAGTATTCTGGACGCCGCTCCTCCCCTGACGCTCCCAGGGCACGGTCGCCAAGTCCATGCCGGGAAAACTAAAGGTGGCGACTTCGGGAGGTGAAGTTGCTTGCCGCCGAATCCGAGAAGACCCTCCAACGACGCGAGACGCA